CATGAAATTTATACGCCAAACGCCAACTTCAAATGCCAAATCTTAATTTACTGCTTTGGTGAATGGCATGACTAGTGGTTAATTTGCTTTCTTAAATCATTGCTAAAGAGCACAAGTTTAATAAGTTTAACATATTTCAAAACTGGTGTAAAAGCTATTATAATAGAGTTGTAAAATCGAAAACCTCGCTAGCGGTTTGACGTTTGCCGTAAACGTCAATCTTAAGGTCTCTAATATCTGTCATCCCTACTCTGCGGAGGAGATTGACATAACCTGAAGCAGACGATTTTTTCCCCTCCCCTTACTCAATTAGCCTTCCTCACGCCGCCATTTTTCGGTGGCAACCTGTTTTAGAACAGGAATAGTAAGCAGTGAAAATGAAACTTTCTCTAACTATAGTTGTCAGTATAGTCATAAATCGATTTACAGTTAAATACTTGAAACATTTTCACTCGATTAGATTTTTCACGTTTACAAAATAGTACCCAAAAATGGCGGATTTAGGCCTTCGTGAGAAAGGCTAATTGCTCATTTCATAATATGCGGACTATTTCAATCATGAGCATTCTTTATCTTAACACTTGACTCACCAGCACGTTGGAACACAGTATCCGATTGAATAGATTGACAAACGTCAGTCAAATCATATTAGTCAATTTAAAAGACAACTATAATCTTATAAACTCTAATCCACTAACGCCGTACGCAAATGCATGTACGCTTAGCGTATCTATTTTTATTCCAAAGGCTAGCTACATGTACGCACTGTGTACCTTACTATAGGCGGTTAGGGAAACATGTGATTCCGAACAAACAAACTCACTGGCAGAATATAAAGCGGCGCCACACTTGGCACGGGCACAGCAATGTTTTTAGAATCTACGTGTAATGAGGCAGCATGACATGTTTATTACTTGCACGATCGCGACAAAATTATGAATTTTACCCACCCATGCCTTTCAAAACTGTACACATGTACTGCAAACTGTACTGCATGTTCTCGTACTTGAAAGCATTAGATAAAGCTAAAGCCTGCCGCACACAAGAGAAACGTGCTGAGCTAACCGCCTCGCGTGGCAGCTGGCTCAGCAAGTTCCTCTCGTGTGCGGATAGTTGTCGTGAGGTGATTTGACCTCTCGAGGCCTTGAGGAAAATATCTATCGTGTTTGATATTTTTCCCCTCGTGAGGAAAAGCAGAAACCATAGTTTCTTCATGTGACTTTGAACAATATGAATGGAAATGCAAACGATTTTGTCAATTATGTTGTTGAGTATAGTTTTCCCAACGTGTGCAGTGAAAATACACAGCTGAGCTAGGGGGTGGGATAAAACGCGGATGCGGACGGACGGACACACGAACGGACACGCGGACGGACGGACAAAAGGGTTAAAATGCGGATGCGGACAAAAAGGATAAAATGCGGATACGGACAAATAGGATAAAATGCGGATGCGGACAAAAAGGATAACGAACGGACACGCGGACGGACGGACAAAAGGGTTAAAATGCGGATGCGGACAAAAAGGATAAAATGCGGATACGGACAAAAAGGATAAAATGCGGATACGGACAAATAGGATAAAATGCGGATGCGGACAAAAAGGATAAAATGCGGACAAAAGGGATAAAATACGGATGCGGACAAAAAGGATAAAATGCGGATGCGGACAAAAAGGATAAAATGCGGATGCGGACAAAAGGGATAAAATGCGGATGCGGACAAAAAGGATAAAATGCGGATGCAGACAAAAAGGATAAAATGCCCTAACATAACTAACATAATTCGTTATTTCGGAGACACAATTCATAGACTTAGTACACGGTAAATTCCAGCTGGAGTTTCAGTCGCTTGCCGAAAATGCATTGTAATTTCAGAATTGTGCTGGGTTTTTTCTCCCCGTAGTAAAATACCATTACGGTGGTGTTGATTTCTGGATGAAAACAGCATGAATGCAACATAATAATATAAGAAATGCACAGAGCTAGTGCTGATGCCTTACCCACGATATATTTTTCGGAAATCCCAACGCAAAAATATATAACAACAAGGTAATTACAACAGGGTATTACAACAGGTATTACGAATGTAATAATCAATATTAAAATACATGTAGTTATGCAAGGCGGAGGCTTTGCAGTAAATAATTGCTCCAGGTATGAACCATGCTGAATAGTCAAATTAGCGAGCTAAAGAGTAAAGAATTCATTGACCGATGACAAATAGTGACAAGGCAAATATAGTGACTTTAAAGAAATTTCTATAAATGTTTAAGACGTTTAGTCAGTTAGTGTTTACTGCTAGACGTACATCCAGGCTCGAAATAGTTACTTTCAAGAAAAATTAGGAAGATATCCCTATCGGTATTTATGCTGTGCTGAGTGGTTATATTACTACCTTAAAAAATAAGCAGAAACACGACGTTTCGAGCGAAGGCCCTTCGTCAAGATATTATATTCGCACAGATATAGTCGATACAGATAAGTAATATTCGCACAGATATAGTCGAATAAATGTCATGTTTATGTTGCATTAAACTTTCTAAGTATAATTCTGGGTTTTTGTTTACTACAAATGTTTAAGGCTGCCAAGGTTGATATAACAGGCGTATAATGCCGCAAAGGCGTATGACATCTGTATATGTACAGATATATGCGGCTGCCAAGCTATTGCATATATCTATAAATGTTCTCTTTTAATGAAGTTTTCGTAACTATAGGTTATGATATTTACAAGAATAAACACACCCGCAAATATATAGCATGCATAAGATAATCTAGGCGGGTATTGGCTGCATGATAGCAAATATTAATAATTGTCTTGGATTATTCAACTAGTCAATTGTATAAATGTGCACAATTCACTTATATATTTGAATTTAATTAGAGATATCATTAACATAAAAACCCGCCTCGACCAGAACTTGCAAGAGAATTCGATGAAAGTTTTCTTAAATAATCTTATAGATTATTTAAGTAAATTGTCAGCAATATTATCCCATATTTTTGAACCAACACGGGAAAAGGAATCCCTCTGATAGTTTAGTCTTGAATGTTGATAATAAAAGTTTATTCAGCTTTTGATATGCTCTAGTATTATAAGGGACCGTTCATTATTTATACCTGGGGTTGGTACCGAAGAGAAGCGAAAAACACTGTAAATTTTTTATTTACCCAACTTCGTCATTGGTCAAAATAATGTTTACCCAACCCATGTGTTACTGTACTTCATAATAATTAAACACATAAGATTATGGTGACAGAAATCAAGTTGCCTAAATTCTGAAAGCTCACTCACTCTCAAACTCACTGGTACAGAATGTATTGTACACATTTTTCTTCATATTTTCCAATGCATGGTAATTTTGGTTAAATTTTATAGCTGACAAACAGCCACAATTTTTTTACCCAACCCATAAGCTAGTCAAAAACTTGATTACCCAACCCATATCTCTTCGGTACCAACCCCAGGTGTCAATAATGAACGGTCCCTAAGAATGAAGCTCATCCTTTTAAAATAAGTTAGTTCTATCAGGAATTTTTATGTTATGATTATTGGTGATTTCATGCATTAAAATTGAGACTCATTTATAATGGAGCAGTTTTATTGGAAGAACATTGGAGGTGATAAATAATGGTATTGCATATATTCTCTGTTCGTCGAGAATTTTATAATTATCAGGACACGTTTCTGAAGGACTAAAATTTTATTGAGATATTTTTGAGCTGCTTGACCCCAGACTAAGGGGTAAATAATACCTTAATCTTCATAATATGCCATTTATTTTACTAATTGTTAAACTGTACGTATGTGACACGAAATTTCTTATTTTCTTGAATGAAAGAACTCTCTAAGCTGTAGTGTATTATAAATTTCAGTTTCTTGTTTTTATGATTTGTCCCCAAGATATTTCAATTTGTTTGATATGTAAATGAGTATGAATATATCCGCTATTTTATGACGTTACATTGGTTGCAAGCTCTTCAAAATGGTAGAATATCGCTGCTATCATCCAAGATGATAATTTCAAAACTTCACTCACTGGTAAATGTGATGAAACACTGGAGAAAAACGTGAACTGATATCTACTGTTTTTAGTGTTAATAGATTTAATTGTAACTAGTGTAAGTTGAGCTTGCAAACAATGTGACGTCATAAATTAGCGGACATGTTCACACACATATACATATGAAACAAATTGAAAGTTCACACTCATTTACATATGAACCAAATTGAAATATCTCGGGACCAAACTGTAAAATCAAGAAATTGAGAAATAAGTTACACTACACGCAGTTTAAAGACTTCTTTCATTTAAGAAAATAAAAAAATTTATGTCATATACACTTTAAACTAATATTATCTATATGTGCTTTCCAGGACAAAATGCTGTCCAATAAGATACCAAGATACTTAATAAAAGTCTTTGATTCAAAAGAAATTCGAGTTCCATGCAGATTTATGATCAAAGACTTTAAGATTAGAGGTATAATCAAGCTTTTTTATGAAAATGAAACAGGACAAAATTCAATTTCTTAAAATTTAAGGTCAGTTTATTTGCAATTCACCCGTCAAAAACATGTTCCAATACTATTAACGACTTTCGCAAGGGATTTTAAGTTTTTGTCTGCGTAGAGTAGATTGGTATAATCGGCAAAAAAGGAAGAACTGCAACTTGTTAGATAAATAATGCATATCATTAATATACAGGGTGTATCAAAATAAACGCAATTCATCTTTTGTGCTTAATAACTTTCGAAATACTATTTCTAGTTAAACGCTTTTAGGCTTACTTCAAAGCCTGTTCTTTTCTCTTTCAAACAAACTATTATCCTTGTCTCCAATGCTAGTAATAATTGCACAGGAAAAGATTTAGTAAAACCTATCATTTTTAGTTGCTGTTTAATTATGCAAGTTTACTATGTTATTGTTTAGTCGGTTTAAATGTTAGAATTTTCTTCTTTAAACTTTAATGTTGTCGTCACTACATCTGGAAAACCACGTAAGAACAAATTAAAAGTATTTTAAAAGAGACCAGGTTGTTTGAAAATCCTAAACGAATGCTAAAAATCGTCAAAACATTCTGGTGTCTGAGCCAGAGTGTCATCGAATTGCGATGTAATGTAAACAGAAATTATAGCAAGTTGATGTCAGTCAGCTTAGATGGTCCAAGCCAAAATTATATCGCATTTGAAGTTTCAAACTGAGTTAAAAATAGTGGAAGAAAAGCCGTAATTATACTTATTGTTACAATCCATTTAATAAAATGCAACATTTTTTTGTTTTAATGAAAAAATCAGTTATTTTCATGAGAACAATTTGTAATTCCATCTCAATTTTTTTAATCTCCAATCGCAATAACGTAAAGTATTATTACCCGCGAACCAATAAGTCAAATTTAAGAAACAGCCCACTGTTAGAAAGCTGAATGGCTACGCTTTAAAATGAATGTAAACTTTGACGTTTTCGTCTATTATTTGTTTAGCAATTTACATTTCAGTCAAGGATTGCGCTTTTTTTTATACATATACATATATATATATATATATATATACCAGGAGCTGCTATACATATCAAACACTTAAAATATCTATTTAAACTATTTTTAGTTCATCTACAGTTCACTGCATAAAGCCGGGTCTGTACGAGAAGTTGGCACCCTGAAATTCTTCCGTGAGAAATAAAACCGCAGAAATGTGACACCAGAAAAGGTAACCAAATCATACGAGGGGTCAGAGCAGTTTCTTCTGAGTGTTGGGAAAGCCTACCTCTTAGAAGCGGCAACAGCATTTTGGGGAATAGAAAACTCGACGATCAGCCAACAGAGTATGTACCACCAGCTGGAATTGCTCACATGACCAAGGAAAAGAAGAATACTTCAATTTGGTTATTGGGAAATTTGTGGATGAGTATATCATACCAGATCCTGAGAAAGAAAATGAGCTTCAAAGAAAGAGTGCCAAAGAAGGCTCATTTGAAGCAGACAGAGTGAGATGAATGTAGCACAAAATATTTAATCCATACATGCTTGCAATCAACATAAATAATCTAACCTTGTGGAAAATATTTATAAATTATATACAAATCAAATCAAAGAATAACTGTCAAAAAACGATATACCTATACGGTACTATTTTCGCCGTTTCAATAGGCATCCAATGTCAGAGCAAATATCCCCCTCCCCCCAGCTATATTTTTTTAGCCTTCAGATTTGTCCTTGATGAGTACTAACCAGCAGATAATGTTTGTGCATTTGCAATAGTATAATTTTGTACCTGTGTGTACCTCCCCTTAGAATGTGTTTTCTACTTCCACTAAAGTGCAAAAGTTAAAAGTTTGGGTGCTCTAACACTTCCGCACTTTTCCAGATATTCTGGCTTCCTTTTACCTCACTAGTCCTCTCAACCTTTATAATATGAAGAATCAATATTTATACCAGATTTTTCTTTGCAGGTTGAGAGAGGAGCGTGATATCATGCAAAATGACCCATCAAAAAACATTTGATCTGTATGTATTTTGTTTACTATGACACTAAAGCACTGGGCGAAATAGCAAATATTGTTGCAGAAACATTGTTTCCCGCTATGTTTCCAGCATAAATAATCTAACCTCGAATAGGAAATGATGGTGTCCATTAAGCATTACTGATTACAATGAGATATATTGTTTTGTGTTTGACAGATTCTATGGATTGAATATGCTAGAACTATTTGTGTTCCTAATGCAATTGATTGACACAACCAAATAAGGTAACAATGATGTTATTAACCCTTTTAGTAATTTAGTGGCAATGCACCCTGATACGCCCTACTTTATTATTTTACTCTGTCTAACGCCAGATGATTTTACTCGTCAAGTGTAGTCTGGAAAGTTCATCCACTCAATGGGTTAATTGGAGAATTTGCATCAAAATGAAACCATATGCAGACAAATATATAACCTATATGTATATACTGTAATGCATACAGTGGCAAAAGCTACTGTAGCTGATTACTGGAATCATCACCAGCAAGAATACTGATGTACAGGTTTAATAGTAAAACAAAAATATAACTGACAGATAATTACAAAGTCTATTAACTTTAAACTTATAGTTATTTACAACACTAATAAATATGTTATACACTGATCATAGTACATTAATGATGGAAAGTTCTTATGTAATACCCCTTTTACTTTAAATGTACAACCAGCATGTTATAGGTTCCTATTACACTACATTGTACATAATTTTTTAGGTGATGGCAGAAGGAATAACATTAATAAAAAGCAACTCTCACAGTATTTCAAATCATCAAGTTCTTGCCAGAACTACTCAGTTGAGATGTTCACAAGTATCGCCCAGGTTGAAGCTATGTTGTCCGAAGAAATGGCCCACAGACTGACATGGGGACAGTTCATAAATTGGAAAGGAGGTCAAGGCAGGAACATAGCTTGCGATATGGCCCAGGAAATCTGTAACAGGGTAAGCAAAGATGTTGTGAAAGGAATAGGTGCAAACAAGACCGAGGGTGGGAAAGGGTATTTTTTTGAGCCGTGAATGGTCAATATCTGTTCGCGTGAAATGCTTGATTTTAGTGTCGTGAAATGTGATTTGTTCTACAGCTGTGAGGCGTGATTATTGATAAAAATGCTCCGTGAAATGAGAATTAAGGATGTCTGTTTTGTGAACTGTGATTTTGCTTTGTTTATTTCGATCTATTTTTAATAGACATGATACGCGATAATCAATTTATATGATCTCACTCGATTGCACAAGAGTAAAAACTTCGGAGGCCTGTTGGAGGTTGTCGGACATACTGCGAATTGCAGTTGAGCTTATAGAGACAGGACCGCTCAGTTTGATCGTCGAAACGCACAAGTTACCAAGGGCAAATTCAAATGTTGTCATGGGAAATTTAGGCACTTTCGGCTTTTCAGCCAATCATAGTGAAGAAGGCGTTGCCCCGAGCACAGAAATTATATGTTTGATTTGGGGCAACGCCTTCTTCACTGCAAATCGCAGTACTCGTCACTCAAACTTCTAAGTTATGATGTAGTTTTTAACTGACAGGTTGTACCATGCATTAAACATACTCTTTATAATAAACCTATTATTATTATATTATTTTATTAGAATCTAGTTTTCTGTGAAATTGCTTTTTTAAGACGTGTGAATCGTGAAACGGCCTTTTTTCGTTGTGAAACGTGATCCATACCCCCCTTTCCCACCCTCAAGACCACCAAAGCGATGGTAAGGGCATCGAGGGCTGCAGCCGGTGTCAAACAAATTGTGCAGGCAATGGAGAAAGCATCAAATATTAAAAAAATTTCCAACAAGCACAGCTACAAGAAGTCAAATGAAGATGAGTCGCCGATGTTTCAAGATCTCAGAAAGTTAAAACCTTTTGCCATTACATCCGGTCGACATCGCAACCATTTCCATGATATTGCTCTTTCACCAACCAGTAACATTAAGATTAGCAATTTCTTCAAATGGCTACAAAAGCACAAGAGACAAATCTCAATGGGATTTAAAAAGTAATTGCAGTAAAACCCCGCATATAAAAACCTATAATTTAAGAACATGTTAGGCTGAAATATTTTATTTAGATCCCCTTTAGATAAGAACCTGTTCAGGCTAGAATTTCAAAACAGATTCTTATATTTATCAAATAGAGTCAAAATTAAGTAACAAGTTACAATCAGTGTACCTTTAAAGTGCATAATTATATAGAGTTGGTATAGTGCATATATATAATGTCATTTTTTTTGTGCATTTCAATTGTGCATTTTTTATATAAATCAAATACTATACATCCATAAAATGAGTCGCTTTTCTCTCAAAAAAATAAGAAACTAATTAAGAGCCTGTTTAGCCTAGTTTCCCAGTAAGCACCATTTACATAAGAACCTGTTTAGGCTATCTTGTTTAGACTATCATGTTGAGTATGTTAAACAGTTTTTACCGACGAAAGTGCAAAAATATATGCACTATAATTTTATTAACACACTGTAACAGGATTTAACGAGCAGTAAAACGCTCCCCCCTGCTCATACATATCACATGACAAAATAATCCACAACTTGTGGATCGAGGGTTCTCTTCAGCCTGCGGCCAGCACAGAGAGAACCCTGGGTACGAGGTTGGGAAAATGCAGGCACAGAATCCAAAGAATTTGACAAGGACATTGATCATATCAATTTACTCTTGTATACAAAAGATCGATTTGGTATATCCAATCAACCTTACCATGAAGTACCAATGATCTGTAAAGATATGCCGGGATCTTACATGATTAAAGATAGACTTAAGAAGATAAATGAAAAGTGGAACTTGTTTCCGACACCTGGCAACACTGTGAGTTCAACAAAGTATCAAATTGAGATTGGAAACAAGATTGAAAGTGATAATTAGGAACAGTCAAGTTAAGTCACCATCTCAGAACAAGGTGAGGGTGAAATTATCTGGAGATGGGACAAATGTGGGAAAACATTTACATGTCATAAACATTACTTTTACCATACTAGAAGAAGGATCAAAAGCAATGTCAGCTTGATGGGAACCACTTGGTTGCTTGCAACAACCAGCTTGAAAGCTTCGGCTCCTCTGATTGCCGTTCACATTTTTTTTAAAGTACTCATTAAAATTTTATAATTTTCTTCTACTTTTGTAATAACATACTTGATAAAAATCCTGTAAATAGTGAAAATAAATTGAATTGAAGTCATAAAGGTACCGGAAGACTATTACCATTAGTTTGTTACCCTAGGCAACCTTTGAAACGAAGTTGAGGAACTAGCCAGTATTTGCATAGAGAATGAGTGCTACGAGATTGAATGGTTCCTAGGAGGAAACTGGAAGTTCCTAGCTTGATATGTGGCCTTGGAGCTGCACATGCCAAAACACCATGTATTTAGTGCAAGTGCCCCTTATATGACCATTATGATCATACAAAATCTTGGTCACTCGCTGATTCATCAAAAGGTGCATGAACAATCAAAGTTAAGCGTGCTCCCTTATTCCCATTGATTCCACCATGTCATCATTGACACATTGCATCTCTTTCTATGAATATGTGACAACTTAACCAACCTACTGATACTTCAGCTGCGTAAAGAAGATGTAATCAACAAGAAAAAGGCATTTAACAAAGGACTGGACTGGTCAAAATACAAGCATGCGGCAGGTTGGGAAAAGTATCTGAATGAAACCTTGAAAATTCTCTTCAACTGGTTCATATGTAAAGAGAGTAAGAAGGTGAAGTGGCAGGATTTAAAAACTTAAAACTCTTCCATAATACAAAGATAGACATGTGCCTGCTTATCAGGATTCAGATAAAATTCAGAAATTATGGAATGATTTTTACGATATTGCTGAACTCTTGAGCTATTAAACCAGGATAAAATCATTGTTGAAGATTTTTCAAAGAGAACTATTAAAAATTGTGGCTGGACCTTTTAGTATCCATTTACCAGACAAAGCATGTCCATACACCATACATGCATGCCTTGGTGTGCCATGTTCCAGAATTTCTACATTTATATGGCACTATTTGTCCTTTTACCCAACAAGGCTTAGAAAAATTAAATGACAAGACAACTAAAGACTACTTCTGGTCTACAAATCAAAGGGGTATTGGTGCCCTGTTTCAGTTGGTACAGAAGCATAATTGGATGGAATATGTGGAGGACATAGTAATGGTATTTAAAGTCAATATATAGGGAGTGATTACTCAATCTCCAGAGCCATAGGCTCATGTTAAAAATGCTCAACTAATTACTCTATGCATGACTACATGTACAAATTTAAAACAAAGTAAATGAGAAACTTATTTACATAATTAGGACTAATGGAGAAACTACTGTAGTATAAAATGTTTAAGAATTATATACATCCTTGCACACCTACAGCCGAGATTGAGTTTGTTAGTAAAATCTATTATTGAAATTGAAGATATCATATCATTAGGTAGCTCATTTCAAATATGTGAAATGATATAAGAATATGAATTATGGTAAATATAAAGTATTTTAACTGGTCTGCTGAAAATTCAGACCAGTATTTCTAAGATTGTAATGTAATTTTAAAAAATTGGAAATATATGCATGGGCCCATGGAGATGTGTGTACATTTAAAAAACATAATTAAAGACTGTTCAAACCATCTTTGTTCCAAGGAACGCATTGATGCCATATTCAAAACTGTTTTGTAATCTGAAGTATTACCCATATTAAATAGAGTTTTTATGGCATAATGGTTGGCAGATTCCAATTTCCTATTCAAGTCTTTCGCAATACTAAGAAGGAGAGGACAGCAATATTCCAAATGTGGAAGCATGTAGGCTTTGTACAATTTCGTTGCAACTTCAATAGAGGGATCAAACGTCTTATTCCTTGTAAGGCAGCCACTTTCGAATAAACCTTCTTGAGCATTTTTTTATATGGGATTCAAAAGTTAAACGGTTGTCTAGAGTAACTCCTAAAATTTTGACGACCATTGCCATTTGAATAGAGGTATCAGCAAATTTTATATCGTAATCGAAATCAGATTTTCCCATTACTTAGTGTCTTACCAGCATTCACAGTGAGAAAATTATTGTGAAACGAAAGGTCGAGTGTTGATATCCATGTTGATCGAAAGCTCCAGTCTTGCGGGACATTGATCGGAATAATAAGTACTTGCATCATCTGCATATAGACGAAGGGAGGAACAGGTTACCAATGAGTTTATATCATTCACATAAATGGACAGGAAGCCAATCCGAAAACGAATCATTGCACTTCACCCTTTGTTTATGGCCATGCAGGTAGGAACAAATCAAGTCTACGGCTAATTTGTCAAAACCAGATGACTTTAATTTGGCCAATAGCAAGTTGTGGCAGAGAGAATCAAATGCTGTAGAAAGATCAATGGCCACCACAGCAATATCATTTTTGTCATCCAGAGCAAATCTCCAAACTTCTGTTAACTTTAAAAGAGCATTACAACAAGAATGACCACCGAGGAAACCTGACATGTTCTCAGAGAAAATCGTGGAAAAGGGTGGATACAATTGATCAAACATAATTTTCTCTAATAACTTCGGGATTACATAGAGTAAATTGATAGACCTGTAGTTTGTTTTGCTTGTTAAACCTATAGGGAGCGCAAAGGTTACCGCATTATTTTAAACATTAGTAAACACTAGCCTAGTCAATGACTGGGCATTTTTTAAGCAGTCACCGCAGGTTACTGCAACAAATTTCAAACCTATAGGGAGACCCAACCCTGAAACATCACACTTTTGTCAGTAGTCTCACAATGTGCAAAAACTGACTTTTCTCAGATCTGCTCTACAAGACGAAAAAGCATTGACGACTATTAAAGACGTATCTCTATTTTTACCGTATAGAGGGTGTTTGAGAATTTTGTTACAAGACGAAAGACTGGTGTTGACTACTTAAAGAAGTACTCATAATTTAGCGTTATAGAGGGTGTTCAGATTTTACCCAAAAAATTTCAAGCCTATAGGGAGACTGGATTTCACACAGACCTAAAGAATAATTTCTACTACTAGGGTATAGTGAGTGAGACAGCGATGAGCAACCAAGACTTAAACACAAAACCGTATACATCAGGTATAGTAAACGAGAACATGTCAGGGAAAAACCGGGGTGCGTTTGGTGGAAAAATATTTTCTCAACCAATGGTATAGTAGTAGGGCTGCTAAGACAAAAAATCGTTCAAATTGTGATCACATTCTGAAACTTGGCACAGATACTCATTAGGATATGGGGAATATGGAATGGAAGGACTGCCCAAAATTTGAGCAGGGGAAAGTGCCTATTTCGGCCTTCAAAATGGCCGACATTCTGTATGCACCTTGAGGAAAATTATCTCACTTAATCATCACATCTGTGAACAAATGAACAAGCCTAGTACACATGCATGCAAGAGAAGGCTTAAAAAAGTTTTTCCACAATATTATATGTTGCACTGTCATGAAATTAAGGATATTTCAGAAAAACAGTAGTGCGCATGCGCAGTCACATCTCCCTGAAATTCGAATGTTTTATTGCTTTTCCTGGATATATTTTGCTATCTGTTAATGCATGCTGTTTGTTTTGGCAGCAACAAAGATAATATTTTAGCAACTTACACATACCTTAACTGTGATAACATTTGAAATATTGAAATGTTACGGTAGCTCTTGCTATCAAAAACACACCTTCGCCTTGTGTGTTCTTTTTGGTGAAAAATAAATCACGGCAACGCTCACAAACGTATGGGGACTTTGCCCACAATTATAAGGGAATTGAAGTTCAAATGTGAACAATGCGAAATTGAAATTCTTTACGTCTGTCTGCGAGGTCCACATACGTTACTTTTTAACCAAGCACGGGTGTTTTGGCATTATCTAATATTTTGCTTGACAAACACACAGCTCCATACACTCTCTTTGCATTTACATCTACCAACCACAGAACAAATCAGCTCTTCACTAGTCACTTAGGATACGTCGGGCATCGACTGGCGGGAACCCAGTGTGTGGGTTCCAGCTCTACTCTTGCAGCTTCTGGACAATTGTACCACTTTCGTGCTTGTAACGCAGATCGTTTTACGTGTTCGTTCAATGCAGCAGTTGTTCAGTGGCGTAGCCAGAACGATAATCGGGGGGGGGGGGCATATTCATATATTCGTGTTCTGCTTTATTAATTTTTTTTTAAATCAATTGTTTCTATGGTATGTAAACACGAATATATGAATATGCCCCCCCCCCCAATTATCGTTCTGGCTATGCCACTGCAGTTGCTGGGGGTATGTTGTCAATTATTTTTCCCTTGCTTGTCAATTATTTTTCCCTTGATACCCGAAAAGGTATCGCCTTGCATCGTTGATCTCTTCGCCGTCAAATGTGCTGCAATAAAAAGCTGCAACAAACTGTTCCAAAAGATCACTGTCTGCTTCACATATCTTACCTTCGGACGTTGCTACTCGTTCAAACACTGGAGTCAAGCTGGGTATTTGTTTCCATGTTTCGCTTAATGATTTCTTGCCTTTACCTTTGAACGCTGATCTGGTATCACAAAGAGGCTTAAGGTCCTAGTGGTGTGGTAATTACGTGGATTGGAAAGTACTTCAAATGCTTCCCACTCCAAACTTGAGCCACAGTTCTTGGAGGCCGTGGATCTTGTGGAAAGCTTTGAGTGCAACAACAACAACATCACTGTCTACAGTCTTGACCAAAACGCGTGGAGAAAGTTTAGCAGCACGTTGTGCATGGACAAACATACGTTTATCTGCGGCATCAATAATTCAAGATCTACATCCTGATTCGCCACTACCCTGCCGTCTAGAGACCCCGTACACGTGTATCAATGCTTTCAATCAGTACTTTAACGAAGAAGGGAAACAGTTCCGTTTTGTTTTCGTCGCATCTAAGAATCGTTGACTAATTGTTTGGCATACTCCCGTTGCTTTCACGAGCCTCCTAACACCAAAACCCCGGTTTGACCGTGTACCAGACTTTAAACTGCCCTTAAAGTACCTATCAAAAAACCAAGTTGATTAGCTGACCTTAGTTGATATTTTATTTTCGGTAGGATGACATTTGAAAATAAGGTGAAAACAAAACGGGACTATTTTTACTGGTTGAAAGCATTGATACACGTGGACTATTCCTGGGGTCTCTATAGATAACAGAGTTGTGGCGAATCAGGATGTAGATCTTGGATTGTTGATGCCATGCAACATCGAAGAAGCCGATAAACGTATATGTCTCCATGTCCAACATGTCGCTGAACTCTGTCCACACGTTTTGGTCAAGACTGTAGACTGTGACGTTGTTATTGTTGTTTTGCACTCGGAGCTTTCCACAGCCTCAAAAAAACTATAGCTTGAGTTTGGAGTAAGGAACGTTCCAATCCGCAAAATTGCAGCATCCTTAGGACCTCAAACCTCCATCGCTTAACCGCGTTCCTGTTTTTCTACGCATTAAGTGGCTGATACCACATCATCGTTGAAAGGTAAAGGCAATAAATCATTCAGCGTTGCAAAAAATCATTCAGAGGAGCAACGTCGGAAGATAATATATGTAAAGCAGACAGTGATCTTTTGAAACCATTTGTTGCAGCTCTTTATTGCAGCACATTTGATGGCGACAAGGTCAACGATGCAAGGCGATACTTTTTCATAAGCAAGGGAAAGACCATTGACAATATATTCCCAACTGCCAACAACTGGTGCATTGGACGAACACGTAAAAACGATCTGCGTTACAAGCACGAAAGTGATACAATTGTTTATGAAGCCGCAAAAGTAGCGCTGGAACCCACATATTGGGGATGAATGAAGGATGGCGAAGTTTGGAGCCGCAATGCCGCATGCCTGACGTTTCCCAATGACCGAAGCGCTGATTTGTTGTCAGGGTGTAGTGGTGCACCAAATGTAGGGTTGGTAGATGAAATGCAAAGAGTTTGTTGAAGTATACAGAGCTGTGTAGATGTCACTAAGCGAAATGTTAGATAATGCCAAAAACAACCATGCTGAGTCAAAAATTAACATTGCGGACCTCACTGACAGACATAAAGAATATAAATTTCGCGTCGTTAATATTTGGTCTTTAAATGAGTATATAGCTCCTACTTTTGAAACATAGCAATTCCTTTATATTTGTGGGCAAAGTCCCCGTACATTTGTGAGCGTTACCGTAATTTATTTTTTACCAAAAAGACCACACAAGCCAAAGGAGTCTTGTATGACACTTTATGACGCGTTATATGACATTTTACTCTTTATATTATATATTCTGGATACAATATACTCAGGAAAAGCGGTAAAACATCAAATTTTAGGGTAATGTGACTGCGCATGCGCACTACTGTTTTTCTGAAATATCCTTAATTTCATGACAATGCAACATACAATATTGTTGAAAGCCTTCTCTTGCGTGTATTTTTGCTAAGCGTGTCCATTTGTTCACAGATGTGATGACTAAATGAGATAATTTTCCTCAAGGCACATACGGAATGTCTGCCATTTTGAAGGCCGAAATAGGCACTTTCCCCTGCTCAAATTTTGGGCAGTCCTTCCATTCCATATTCCGCATATCTTAATGAGTATCTGTGCCAAGTTTCAGAATGTGATCACAATTTGAACGATTTGCCTAAATTTGGTGTCTTAGCAACCCTACTATTAAGCCCGTTTTCCACTTCAACCGTATCGTAACGTACCACAGCATTTTCTTTTGCGTCGAAGTCATTAGTTCCACACTACCGCTCAGGAAACAAACAAATACGCTACGTTTCGGTACGATTGAGAACAGAAGTGGAAAACAGGCATTAAGAACTGCTGTATTACTGGTAGGGTTATTATTGATAGCAGTTTATGCTAATCTATAATGTGAATGGGTGGGTGCGTGACATCTTCGCTCCTGACCAATGACTCGTAGAATTTCAATCAAGCTTCAATATCCACGTTATAAAGTCTAATTCTACTTAATTCGCCATTGGTCTACGTCGCTACGAAGTCATGTGAGATTTGAAAGCAATGGCCATTAGCATGAAACTATACCAATTCTTTATTAATATACCAAACAAGGAACTAGCTTTATTAACAACTGAAATTGCCCAATGTAATATTAACAACTGAAATTGCCCTATGTCAAAACGTCCCCATGTAATGGATACCATGATTGCAGTAAGTTATGTCCAAAGTTTTCAGAGTTCTTAGTAGATTCTGAAATAACTGGTTGATGTTGATGTTGCTCTGGTACTATGTGCATGGAAAATATTAGTGTCAATTCCTGCTTTGTCCAGAACTGATTTCAGCCACCTTGCAATGGTATCAGTTGTCACCGGCTTATGTGGCTGCTGGTAGCTTAAGTATCAACAGTTGAGTGTGGTTGATTCTAAGGGGCTTCGTTTTTGCCAAGTGGACTCGAATAGTTTTGAAAATGCATAGCTGTTCATCCGCTGGATATACTTGCAGCGTCAAGGGTAGTGTGGTTGCCTCTAAGGGGCTTCGTTTTTGCCAAGTAGACTTGAATAGTTTTGAAAATGCATAGCTGTTCATCCGCTGGATATGCTTGTAGCGTCAACGGTAATAATAATAGTAATAATAACACTTCATTCATTGAGGATAAACAAATAAAGTTACAAATAAACTTTTTTCCAATCTGGTCCTCCTAAACTCTATAGACACAATAACATTAAACATGACTATTTTCAGTACTTCCTGGGAGAATGAACAAATGAAATTGTGGATATAATGTAACCAGTAGTACAATTCAGTTGTTCATACATCGACATACATATGTTTAAATTATATTTACAGAATAATATGTCAAAATACGTTGACACACAACTCACAAGTGTCTAAAGTGACATTATAAACATGACAATATCATGCTCAGCTAAAACTGCAAGGTCTCGAGGTTTTCAATAGCTTGTTTACCTGGAAAACATATTACTGGTTTGGATGGCATACCACTTGCATATCACTGATATCCAGCGCGTGAATGGTTTGACAACGTTGACCAGAGAGCAATGCTATTAGCATGGTTATTTTCAAAGTAAGATCCCGGAGGTGCAAGTCCTCCAATGGATGTAGTGTTTTTAAGTACTTTAGCACGATCGCTACATCCCACCTGACAATATCGTGGCAATGATGGTCTTCTAGATCCTGCAAAAACGCCTTTGAGCAGTCGACTCACTAGTGGGTGGATCCCAAATGTACAGCTCTCAAGAGGAAATATAACCAAGGATAACGCAATCCTAGCAGTGTTCATTGCACTGTAGGATAGATTATTGTTCGCATAAAGTTCACTAAGTCTACGAAAAGATTGCGGAATAAAAACTAAAAAAATCTGCTAAGCTTGACCATACATTTCTTGCTTTTCAAATAGCGGTTAGAATAGAACTTCTATGAGACAATACTCAGATTGTTTATATTTAAATATCACGGCTAAATAATAAACATGTCAAGGTTGTTATACAGCCACATACTGTTGTACTTTAACAAGCAGATTTACTGTACTGTGCTACAGCAACTGTCCAGTCCCGCATACATGGGGAAAGCCGATATAAACACAATATAATGTAAAACATAACGGAATGGCAAACATGCAGATTCGACCATCTCAAATAATGGTGATGTTGGGATGGCAGCGTTGCAGACTGCAGAGGAGAGTGGGCAGTAAGGCTCCCTCATGCACCACCCTATGGAAAACCTGCACCCCTCCTTGCAGATGCGGCTGGAGTCGCCCATCCATGCTTGTAGATATATCGAATTTGAAAATACATATAAAATTGACAATGACAAAATGAATTACAAAGACAAAGACCAAAGTACTACTCTTCTAACCAAATCTTATTATACTAAGAATCCACTATTTTAACAAACTTCTAACAAAAACCCAGATAAAAGACCAAAGTACTATTATTCTAACCAAATATTATTATACTAAGAATCCACTATTTTAACAAACTTCTAACCAAAAAGAACAGATATGTACAAACTGACTTTAGTTCAAAATGCATTACGTCAATTATCAATATTGATCACTTTTCAATCATATTAAACAGTTACATTGGCTCATTGCATTACTATGTCAAAATAATCTCTAAACAATTCAACCAATTTCAAACAATCACAAACTGGGGAAAAACAGTTTCAAATAAATTTCAAGAGAGGTTTCAACACAACACATTACCTAGGTTGATGCGATATATCAATATCTTTGATAAATATCAATATTTCAAAAATATTAATATTTAAAAATATTATCCACTTTTTGAATATCGACAACATGGAACCTTTTAAGTAGAGAACTTAATCTCCTTCTGTAAAGTTGAGAAAACGCACATGTGACAGCAATTGAGAATTCAAGTAAGCATGTTGGCAATTTAGAAGTGTAAAGATCACCATCCACACGAGCAATAGTTTTTGAAAACAATAACTGTGTGATGATTCATAAACATGGAATCAAAATATCACAGCTCCTTCTAATTTCACTGTCTAGACTCACTGAAGGAAAGTCTAGAGAATAAATATGTCAAATCAACAATTCAAAGCACTGTTTGGATTTACTTCAAGAACAGTGCAGGCTGACTGAACTACGTTTTCTAATTTCATAATTCGATATATTCCATATTTTTGTTCAATATCGATATATTGATTTTTTCCATAACACATCAGCCTAATATTGCCCAAAATATCTTCAATTATGTTGCCTAGCTAGCTAGTGGGGCAGCACATTGTCATGCATACTCATATGATCTTCAAGTTCAGTGGCAATTTCAAACTCTGCATCACAGACGCAACAGATATAACTAATACCAGTTGCTTCTCTTGCTTCTAATTCCTTACAGACATTACATTGGTAGGACGTACCATGGTCTTTGGCCTTGTGCTGATATAAACTTTCAATATCAGGGAACTGTTTGTTGCATTTGTCACAGTCAAAATGATCATCACTCTGTATCTCACTAGCATGTCCTTGACCTTGAATAATTTCTTTGCCACAGGTGTGGCACAATAATAAGCCATCTCTCAAGTGTGATCTCCAATGACGTTTGAGACTTTGCCTTTGTGCGAATGTTTTCTTACATTTAGCACACTCAAGACTCGGCTTTCTCTTGTGTGCTGACATTTTATGTTGTGTTAAATTGCGAGATTCTGAAAATTTCTTATTGCAAACATGACATTCATAAGGTTTGTCTCTAGCGTGTGTTTTCTTATGCTTAGCTAAATGGCCCGATTGTAAAAATGTTTTCTTACAAATATCGCATTCATAAGGTTTGTCCCTGGTATGGGTTCTTTTATGCTTGGTTAAATTGGCCGAGCATGAAAATCTCTTCTTACAAACATCACATTCATAAGGTTTGTCTCCAGTATGTGTTCTCTTATGAATTGTTAAGTCACTTGACTGCAAAAATCGTTTGTTGCAAATGTCACATTCATAAGGTTTGTCTCCAGTATGTGTTCTTTCATGTCTAACTAAATGGCTTGAGTGTGAAAATCTCTTCTTACAAACATCACATTCATAAGGTTTCTCTCCAGTGTGTGTTCTCTTATGGGTAGCTAAGTTGCTTGACTGCAAAAATCTTTTGTTACAAACATCACATTCATAAGGTGTGTCTCCAGTGTGTGTTCTCTTATGAATTGCTAAGAGGCTCGAGTGTGAAAATCTTTTGTTGCAAACATCGCATTCATAAGGTTTCTCACCAGTGTGTGTTCTCTTATGTGCAACTAAGGTGCTTGATTGCTTATGAATTGCTAAGAGGCTCGAGTGTGAAAATCTTTTGTTGCAAACATCGCATTCATAAGGTTTCTCACCAGTGTGTGTTCTCTTATGTGCAGGTGCTTGATTGGGGAATATCTTTTGTTGCAAACATCACATTCATAAGGTTTGTCTCCAGTGTGCGTTCTAAAATCTTTTTTTGCAAACATCACATTCATAAGGTTTCTCTCCAGTGTGTGTTCTCTTATGAACCGCTAACACGTCTGATCGCAAAAATCTTTTGTTGCAAACATCACATTCATAAGGTTTGTCTCCAGTGTGTGTTCTCTTATGACCTGCTAAGTTACCTGACTGAAAATCTTTTGTTGCAAACATCACATTCATAAGGTTTCTCTCTAGTGTGTGTTCTCTTATGAATAATTGCTTGACATTGAAAATATTTTATTGCAAACATCACATTCATAAGGTTTGTCTCCAGTGTGTGTTCTCTTATGACCTGCTAAGTCGCCTGATTGCGAAAATCTCTTGTTGCAAACATCACATTCATAAGGTTTCTCTCCAGTGTGTGTTCTCTTATGAACGGTTAAATTGCTTGACTGTGAAAATCTTTTATTGCAAACATCACATTCATAAGGTTTGTCTCCAGTGTGTGTTCTCTTATGAACGGTTAAATTGCTTGACTTTGAAAATATTTTATTGCAAACATCACATTCATAAGGTTTCTCTCCAGTGTGTGTTCTCTTATGACCTGCTAAGTGGCTTGACCGCTGAAAATCTCTTGTTGCAAACATCACATTCATAAGGTTTGTCTCCAGTGTGTGTTCTCTTATGAACGGTTAAATTGCTTGACTGTGAAAATCTTTTATTGCAAACATCACATTCATAAGGTTTGTCTCCAGTGTGTGTTCTCTTATGACCTGCTAAGTCGCTTGATCGCGAAAATCTCTTGTTGCAAACATCACATTCATAAGGTTTCTCTCCAGTGTGTGTTCTCTTATGAACGGTTAAATTGCTTGACTGTGAAAATCTTTTATTGCAAACATCACATTCATAAGGTTTGTCTCCAGTGTGTGTTCTCTTATGACCTGCTAAGTCGCTTGATCGCGAAAATCTCTTGTTGCAAACATCACATTCATAAGGTTTCTCTCCAGTGTGTGTTCTCTTATGAACGGTTAAATTGCTTGACTGTGAAAATCTTTTATTGCAAACATCACATTCATAAGGTTTGTCTCCAGTGTGTGTTCTCTTATGACCTGCTAAGTCGCTTGATCGCGAAAATCTCTTGTTGCAAACATCGCATTCATAAGGTTTCTCTCCAGTGTGTGTTTTCTTATGAACGGTTAAATCGCTTGACTTTGAAAATATTTTATTGCAAACATCACATTCATAAGGTTTCTCTCCAGTGTGTGTTCTCTTATGACCTGCTAAGTTACCTGACTGCGAAAATCTTTTGTACGGTTAAATCGCTTGACTTTGAAAATATTTTATTGCAAACATCACATTCATAAGGTTTCTCTCCAGTGTGTGTTCTCTTATGACCTGCTAAGTTACCTGACGTTATGACCTGCTAAGTTACCTGACTGCGAAAATCTTTTGTTGCAAACATCACATTCATAAGGTTTCTCTCCAGTGTGTGTTCTCTTGTGAACGGTTAAATTGCTTGACTTTGAAAATATTTTATTGCAAACATCACATTCATAAGGTTTCTTATGTCTCACCAAATTTCCTTTCTTAGAAAATACCTTGTTAGAAACCTCACATTTCCTAGACATGGTTTCAGCTTTTGATCTTTTCCCCGTACGGGCACACGTGCGGTCAAATTTCGATTAAAAATATCACCCAACTGTTCCCTCGAGTCTTTCTTTATTGAATCTTGATAATACTTCGGTTCTTACACAATTTCTGATCATAAAAATGAGAATATTCAGAGACACAGTTTGCAAACAACACGAGTATCAAAATATGGCGCCCAGAAAGATCGGTGTTTCCACTTTACAAAAACAAAGATTATTGATGTGCGAGATTGTGCGAGATCGGAGATTTCGCGACAGATACTGGAGAATAAAAGCAATACCCAGTAACATAAACGAAAAATTAAATTAACCCACCCTTATGGTGTATGGGTGGACTCTTTTGAGCAGAGGAAACTGATACATCTTTCTCGCAGCAATTTGTTTTGCCAAACCAATCAGTGTTTCATGTTTTATATTTCACTATTGTGGAAGCCATGTTTGCGCTAGATGGTAACTCTTATGGAAATTGCTAGATAGTATACTTCAAAATAAGGTTTCCGTTTTTATATCAATTTTTTAAATAAGTTAGGGTTAGGTTAAAGGTGATCTACAGTCCGTATGTAAACAAAGCCTTTGTTTACATTTTTGTGTCCAAAATATTGAGCTTTATTCGACAACTATTTATATTTTCAAGCTTCTAGAGTATAATAAATGATCAAGAAACAACAATCAGGCTTTTCAAGAACTCAAAACATAGTTAAACTGTTTGTATCGTAAAAAGTGGGCTCATTTGTGCACATGCGCAGATCGGACTGTAGATCACCTTTAAGGTTAGGTTAGGTTAGGGTTGGGGTTAGGGTTAAGGTTAGTATTAGGGTTAAGGTTTAGTTTTGCGTTAGGATGTTTTTTTCTACGTTATAAAAACGGAAACCTTATTTTGAAGTATACTATCTAGCAATTACCTAACTCTTATACAGGGTGTATCAATAAAAACGCAACCTCGGAATTTCCTAAGAAATCACTTTGCAATTCTTAAGCATAAAAGATTTTAGGCCCTTGGGAATTGAAATCGAATTCCTAGTAGATCATATTACTGTTGTTGTGCATTAAATAAATGCATAAATTTTGCTTTATGCAATCGCGTGTCCAGTAATTTTGACAGTTGTGCTATTCTAAATTCCCAGGCGCCTAAAATCTTGTGTCTTTAAAACAATGTCGATTTCTCGGGAAATTCCGAGCTTCCGTTTTTTTATACACTCTGTATAACAAAATTAGAAAATTAAACCACAGTCATCCCCAATCTCGTTCCCTGAGCCTGCGATCCTCGGGAAGGAACGTGAGGCTCTGGGATAATCCGTTGCCGGAAGCCAGGAATCCTGGCTAAGACCGAACTGCGCATTCCAATATCAACGGCCAATCAGATTCCTCCCTGAAACGGATTATCTCAGAGCCTCGCGTTCCTTTCCGAGGATCGCAGGCTCGGGGAACGAGATTGAGTCATCCCAAGCTCACATGTCGTTGTTGGGGTATATTTGCATTTTTATACTAGATTACTATGACAGAATATAGCTTAGAATTTGTATTGTCAAAGTGCTAAAATATTGTATTAAATTGAGAAATAAAGTTGCTTACCACTACTATGTGTAATTGACTTTTCTGGGTTGATTTGGGGTGATTCGATCCCAGGGACGCCGGAACGATAATAGGGCAAAGGGGGGCGGACGCACACCAAGGGCACCTTTACTGAAAAATTTTTTTTCACTGCAAAATTTTTTGGCGACCCCCCCCCCCCGTCGCCAAAAAAATTTCGGTCAGTGTACCATTTTAGGGGTCAACAATTTTTTCCGGACATACAAAAATTTTCCGTGAAGCCAAAAATTTTTCCGGATATCTTAAATTTTCGCCAGTTCTTCAGAATATTTTTCTAAATTCCAAAAATTTCCCAAAATTTTTATAAATATAAACTATAAATTACCTGAATCTCGTGATTTTCGCCTAGCAAAAGGCAAGGGGGGAAGCCGCCCCCCCCCCTGCCCCCCAGTTCCGGCGTCCCTGTTCGATCCGCTTGAGAAGGAGATATATCGTAACGTACCGTAGCATTTTCTTTTCTGTCGAAGTCATTAGTCCCACACTACCGCTCAGGAAACAAATAAATACGCTACGTTTCGGTACGATTGAGAACAGAAGTGGAAAACAGGCATTAAGAACTGCTGTATTACTGGTAGGGTTATTATTGATAGCAGTTTATGCTAATCTATAATGTGAATGGGTGGGTGGGTGCGTGACATCTTCGCTCCTGACCAATGACTCGTAGAATTTCAATCAAGCTTCAATATCCAGGTTATAAAGTCTAATTCTACTTAATTCGCCATTGGTCTACGTCGCTACGAAGTCATGTGAGATTTGAAAGCAATGGCCATTAGCATAAAACTATACCAATTCTTTATTAATATACCAAACAAGGAACTAGCTTTATTAACAACTGAAATTGCCCAATGTAATATTAACAACTGAAATTGCCCTATGTCAAAACTTCCCCATGTAATGGATACCATGATTGCAGTAAGTTATGTCCAAAGTTTTCAGAGTTCTCAGTAGATTCTGAAATAACCGGTTTATCACAGAATTTGCCAAGTATCAAAGCATTTGTCCACCCAGCTGCCGTCATGATGGTATTAACGGATGAGTTTGCTGTCTTTGCAGCAGATGTTGATGCTGCTCTGGTACTATGTGCATGGAAAATATTAGTGTCAATTCCTGCTTTGTCCAGAACTGTTTTCAGCCACCTTGCAATGGTATCAGTTGTCACCGGCTTATGTGGCTGCTGGTAGCTTATCAACACTTGAGTGCGTTTTTGCCAAGTAGACTTGAATAGTTTTGAAAATGCATAGATGGACTCGAATAGTTTTGAAAATGCATAGCTGTTCATCCGCTGGATATGCTTGTAGCGTCAAGGGTAATAATAAAAATAATAATAGTAATAATAACACTTTATTCATTGAGGATAAACAAATAAAGTTACAAATAAACTTTTTTCCAATCTGGTCCTCCTAAACTCTATAGACGCAACAACAATAACATTAAACATGACTATTTTCAGTACTTCCTGGGAGTATGGACAAATGAAATTGTGGATATAATGTAACCAGTAGTACAATTCAGTTGTTCATACATCGACATGCATATGTTTAAATTATATTTACAGAATAATATGTCAAAATACGTTGACACACAACTCACAAGTGTCTAAGGTGACATTATAAACATTACAATATTTGGCACTTTCTCCATGTACGAAGAACCGAAAGTAAAATCATGCTCAGCTAAAACTGCAAGGTCTCGAGGTTTTCAATAGCTTCTTTACCTGGAAAACATATTGCTGGTTTGGATGGCATACCACTTGCATATCACTGATATCCAGCGCGTGAATGGTTTGACAACGTTGACCAGAGAGCAATGCTATTAGCATGGTTATTTTCAAAGTAAGATTCCGGAGGTGCAAGTCCTCCAATGGATGTAGTGTTTTTAAGTACTTTAGCACGATCGCTACATCCCACACAGTGTTCATTGCACTGTAGGATAGGTTATTGTTCGCATAAAGTTCACTAAGAAAAGATTGCGGAATAAAAACTTAAAAAATCTGCTATCTGATGGTCTTTTTGTAAAAATGCCTTTGAGCAGTCGACACACTAGGGGTGGATTGCAAATGTACAGCCCTCAGGAGGAAATATAACTAAGGATAACATGGACCTACCGGTGTTCATTGCACTGTATGATAGGTTATTGTTTGCATAAAGTTCACTAAGTCTAAGAAAAGATTGCGGAATAAAAACTAAAAAAATCTGCTAAGCTTGACCATACATTTCTTGCTTTTCAAATAGCGTTTAGAATAGAACTTCTATGAGACAATACTCAGATTGTTTATATTTAAATATCACGGCTAAATAATAAACATGTCAAGGTTGTTATACAGCCATATACTGTTGTACTTTAACAAGCAGATTTACTGTACTGTGCTACAGCAACTGTCCAGTCCCGCATACATGGAAAAAGCCGATATAAACACAATATAATGTAAAACATAATGGAATGGCGAACATGCAGATTCGACCATCGCAAATAATGGTGATGTTGGGATGGTAGCGTTGCAGACTGCAGAGTAGTGTGGCAGTAAGGCTCCCTCATGCACCACCCCATGGAAAACCTGCACCCCTCCTTGCAGATGCGGCTGCAGTCGCCCATGCATGCTTATAGATATATCGAATTTCAAAACTGACAATGACAAAATGAATTACAAAGACAAAGTTCAAAGTACTACTATTCTAACCAAATCTTATTATACTAAGAAACCACTATTTTTAGTATTTTAACAAACTTCTAACAAAAAAACCCAGATATGTACAAAATGACTTTAGTTCAAAATGCATTACAGTCAATTATCAATATCACTTTTCAATCATATTAAACAGTTACATTGGCTCATTGCATTGCTATGTCAAAATAATCTCTAAACAATTCAACCAATTTCAAACAATCTCACACTATTTCAAAACAGTTTCAAATAAATTTCAGGCGAGGTTTCAACACAACACAACACATTACCTAGGGGTTGATGCAATATATCGATATTTTTGATAAATATCAATATTTCACAAATATTAATAAAACCCAAGATGGTTTCAATTTATCTTGCCTTGCTAGTTGGGCAGCACATTGTCATGCATACTCATATGATCTTCAAGTTCAGTGGCAATTCCAAACTCTGCATCACAGACACAACAGATATAACCAATACCAGTTGCTTCTCTTGCTTCTAATTCCTTACAGACATCACATTGGTAGGATGTACCATGGTCTTTGGCCTTGTGCTGATATAAACTTTCAATATCAGGGAACTGTTTGTTGCATTTGTCACAGTCAAAATGATCATCACTCAGAATCTCACTAGCATGTCCTTGACCTTGAATAATTTCTTTGCCACAGGTGTGGCACAATAATAAGCCATCTCTCAAGTGTGATCTCCAATGACGTTTGAGACTTTGCCTTTGTGCAAATGTTTTCTTACATTTAGCACACTCAAGACTTGGCTTTCTCTTGTGTGCTGATATTTTATGTTGTGTTAACTTGTATGATTCTGAAAATCTCTTGTTGCAAACGTGACATTCATAAGGTTTGTCTCCAGTATGTGTTTTCTTATGCCTAGCTAAATGGCCCGATTGTAAAAATGTCTTCTTACAAGTATCGCATTCATAAGGTTTGCCTCTGGTATGGGTTCTTTTATGCTTGGTTAAATTGGCCGAGCATGAAAATCTCTTCTTACAAACATCACATTCATAAGGTTTGTGTCCAGAGTGCATCCTTTCATGTGTAACTAAGGTGCTAGATTGTGAAAATCTTTTATTGCAAACATCACATTCATAAGGTTTGTCTCCAGTGTGTGTTCTTTTATGGGTAGCTAAGTGACCTGACCGCGAAAATCTTTTGTTGCAAACATCACATTCATAAGGTTTGTCTCCAGTGTGTGTTCTTTTATGAACGGTTAAGTGGCTTGACTGCAAAAATCTTTTGTTGCAAACATCACATTCATAAGGTGTATCTCCAGTGTGTGTTCTCTTATGAATTGCTAAGTGGCTCGAGTGTGAAAATCTTTTGTTGCAAACATCGCATTCATAAGGTTTCTCACCAGTGTGTGTTCTCTTATGAACCACCAATTGGCTTGGTCGTAAAAATCTTTTGTTACAAACATCACATTCATAAGGTTTGTCTCCAGTATGTGTTCTTTTATGGGTGGCTAAGTGACCTGACCGCGAAAATCTTTTGTTGCAAACATCACATTCATAAGGTTTCTCTCCAGTGTGTGTTCTTTTATGGGCAGCTAAGTCACTTGACTGCGAAAATCGTTTGTTGGAAACATCACATTCACAAGGTTTGTCTCCAGTGTGTGTTCTTTCATGTCTAACTAAATGGCTTGAGCGTGAAAATCTTTTGTTGCAAACATCACATTCATAAGGTTTCTCTCCAGTATGTGTTCGTTTGTGTGCCACCAAATTTCCTTTCGTAGAAAATAACTTGTTACAAACCTCGCATTTCCTAGACATGGTTTCAGCTTTTGATCTTTTTCCCGTACGCTCAAATATCGATAAAAATATCACCCAACTGTTCCCTCGAGTCTTTCTTTATTGAATCTTTATAATACTTCGGTTCTTACACAATTTCTGATCATAAAAATGAGAATATTCAGACACAGTTTGCAAACAACACGGGTATCAAAATATGGCGCCCAACAACCTCGTCCCCAGGGTCTTCCTTGTGGTGGCGCGTGAGCTGAGGAAGACCCTGGTAAAATACGATGAAATCTCCAAGATTCTTGGAGATTTATCGCATGCGCAGTAACGACAACGTTATGTTGCTGACTACAATTAGCGCTGGCGCTTACGATTTTCTTGCTTAAAAATATACATGTTTTGTTGACTGTTTATGTAGTTTATTCTCAAAGTTTTAACAAATTTTACGAAAAATACTTCAGATATAAGCTGTGAACACACATGTACACAAAACTGTGCAACATTCATCATCATATTGTATCAATTTGTCGGAGTATGGCGCTCATATTTGTGACATTGTTTTGTTCGCTTTGGCAACCCTCACATATATCAGAATATCAGATACTGTTCGGCTTCAGCTCAAATGCGACTGAATAAACACTGATAGTGTTGCCTGGAATAAGAAATGATATTGACTGATTGTTCTGTATATCAAGGTATGTACTGTACATTTATACTGAATTTATTCGATTTATTTCACACGTTTAACTTTCACATTTTCTCAGAATCTCGGAAATCACATTTTCTAATAAACACAGTTTCACACATACAGAAAGACTTCATTTCACACATACAGAAAGACTTCTTCAGAAATCACAGTTTTTAACACACAGAAAGACTTCATATTATCTCATCAGTTAATGTCCGTTAATTAAATTATGATATTAAACAGTAGAAATGCTTAGAAAGATTTTATTCTGTTTTCCATATACAGTACAACTGTTATTTCGATTTTCTCTTTCCTATATTTTCTTTAAAGCAGGTACTGTTCTGTTACAAAACAACTAATAAACATTTTATTATTTTAACAGGTGAACCATATTTTACATGAACTTGGGAAAAAAACCAACTTGAATTCCATGGAAATATATATAATCATGTCATCAATCAGATGTTAAACAATCATTAAGATGGCCTCAAGATTACACTTCACAGTGACGAACATGAAAATTTTTAAATGGGAATTAGTTGATGGCATTATAGTTTTCTAATGCTATATAATTTTGTTCATCAAGGTGAAGAAACCTTAACTCCCTATACCTTTACCTGTTACAGAGCTATGGTAGTAATCTTAGAAGATTTTCATGATCCCTCTATTCAGTAGTTCTTTACCCAGTCTAGTATTATGACTGTATTATGTTAAATAGCCTTGTTTGACTTTTGTATTTTGTTTCTTTAATAATACATTTACAATGGTCAAAATTACAGTTTAATATTTGTATTTCTAATGATAATTACTTGCATATATCCATCACACTTCTCTGTTACTATTAAACTTATTACTATCATGCAAGTAAAATCTCTTGGGAAAAATAAAATGTTGTCCCAGGATGATCATAAATATCAGCTAGTAAAACTAATGAATATACCTATAATCATGTACATATGACTATCATATAATATGTTGTAATTCCTTTAAGTGTTTCAAATTAAATAAATTTCTATTTTAAGTTGCTCATTGTTCAAACTTATTTGAAACCTACAGTATACTAATATCCAAAAGTGTGCCTTTTACTTAAGTCCTTATAGACTCCTCCCTAATACAGACACTTTATTGTGCCACTCCAATGTTCATTCAAAGTGCTCCAACTGACATCTGAGCTGGTGATAATATACAGCAAAGTATTGGAACTAGGAGTATACCAGATAAGTTGTTCATTCAGTCAAGACCTTGAGGTTGTGCTGATCATCATATCAAACTCCATCACATATTGTGCCTTAAAAACATATATACAAATTTTAAAAGTTGTTGCAGCACACTGGGCCATTCCATCTAAAATAGCCCCCCCCCCCACACCCTATTGAGGGGTCTCTTCATACCTTAAAAATTTTGGAACCCCATTAGATGCAATTTTGGAACCCCTATGGATATCTTTCTACCCCTTTAGGATATTGTTCCTGCCCCTTTGGATATCACTAAAACACCTAATTTTTAGGAAATCTCTTAAGCTACCCTCCAGAAAAATTTAAGGTAAAACCCCCCTCTCTAAAATCCCCATATAGGATATCCAGATCTCAAGGGGGGGGGGGGGGGCTATTAAATGGAATGGTCTATCTGACTTGGCGAGTGGTGACTACCACCAAAGCAAAATGAAACATGCTGCCCTGCTTTGCATACAGAATAAATTTTGAAGCATTTCTACTGTTACTTGTAACGATAATCAGATTTGATGCGAAATTATGGAGTCTTTCTCTATGACTGTATGTTAGTGATGTGATCTCATTGTTCATAAGGTTGAAATAGTTTGAAACTCGTGTGAAAATAAATTCAGTATAAATGTACAGTACATACCTTGATATACAGAACAATCAGTCAGTATCATTTCATATTCCAGGCAACACTATCAGTGTTTATTCAGTCGCATTTGAAGCCGAACAGCATCTGATATATGTGAGGGTTGCCAAAGCGAACAAAACAATGTCACAAATATGAGCGCCATACTCCGACAAATTGATACAATATGATGATGAATGTTGCACAGTTTTGTGTACATGTGTGTTCACAGCTTATATCTGAAGTATTTTTCGTAAAATTTGTTAAAACTTTGAGAATAAATACATAAACAGTCAACAAAACATGTATATTTTTAAGCAAGAAAGTCGTAAGCGCCAGCGCTAATTGTAGTCAGCAACATAACATTGTCGTTACTGCGCATGCGATAAATCTCCAAGAATCTTGGAGATTTCATCGTATTTTACCAGGGTCTTCCTCAGCTCACGCGCCACCACAAGGAAGACCCTGGGGACGAGGTTGGGCGCCCAATTTAGGCCCAAAAATAATCTGTCGTGTTTCCACTTTACAAAAACAAAAAATATTGCAACCTCGTTCCCAGGGTCAGGCCCAACCTCGTACCCAAGGTATTACCTTCGCTCACCCCCTGCTTCAGGCCAGGGTCTTTCCCAATCTCGTTCCCCGAGCCTGCGATCCTCGGGAAGGAACGCGAGGCTCTGGGATAATCCGTTTCAGGGAGGAATCTGATTGGCCATTGAAATGGAATGCGTAGTTCAATCTTAGCCATGATTCTTGGCTTCCGGTAACGGATTATCCCAGAGCCTTCGATTCCTTCTCGAGGATCGCAGGCTCGGGGAACGAGATTGGGTCTTTCCCTGCCAGAATTCGCAACAGATCTGGAAAATAATTGAATAAAAGCAAAAACATAAACGAAAAATTAAATTAATCCAGCATCATGGTACGGGATGGAATATTTTGAATAGAGGAAACTGATACATCTTTCTCGCAGCGATTTGTTTTGCCAAACCAACCAGTGTTGCATGTTCTATATTACACTATTGTGAAAGCCATGTTTGCGGTAGATGGTAACTCTTATATACCAAAATTAAACCCCAGTCATCCCCGATCACGTTCCCTGAGCCTGCGATCCTCGGGAAGGTCGGGGAACGAGATTGAGTCATCCCAAGCTCACATGCATAGGTTGTTGTGGTATATTTGTATTTTTATATTAGTTTACTATGACAGAACATATATTGTCAAAAAATGCTAAAATATTGTATTAAATTGAAAAATAAAGTTGCTTACCACTACCAGACCTGCCAAGTCTCACGATTTTTTATGCTTTCTCACGATCTCACGATTAAGTCTCCAAATCTCACGATTTTCGGAACTTATAAAATAATCGAAGAGCGCAACATCTAGTTACAATAAGGCACACTCTTCCAAGGAAACATCACACTTTATTACAATATTAGTGTATTAATAATGCGCAATGTACAACGTCAGAATTTTGTATGTGTGATGTTTGTGTTACAAAGTAAAAGGCGTGTCCTGCTAAGGTTATTGTCCTGCTAGTCCTAATATTACTCGTAGTTTTCTTGTTTTTGTACAGTGGAAATTACTTAAGCCATAAAGAAAAAAAAGCCTATTTTTAACAAGCCTTGCATTTACGGTTTTACTAACAAAATATAAATGCATACTATCCTAAAATTGAATATTATATCTATTGATTATTTGCTAGTGTTGTTAAAGTTACCCCTGGTCATATTAATGAGCAAACCTGAAAATTTCAAAGTCTCAACATTTTTCAGTCAATCTCACGACTTTTTAGATAGCAACTCACTGTTTCTGCTACAAAAGGGTTGGCAGGTCTGCACTACTACAATGTGTAATTGACTTTTTCGGGTTGATTTGGGGGTGTTTCGATCCGCTTGACAATGAGATACGTTCTGAATGACCATTACTTAAGCTCGTTTTCCACTTCAACCGTATCGTAACGTACCGTAGTATTTTCTTTTGTGTCAAAGTCATTAGTTCCACACTACCGCTCAGGAAACAAATAAATACGCTAGGTTTCGCTACGATTGAACAGCAGTGGAAAACAGACATTCAGAACTGCTGTATTACAGCACAGTTAATAGAGGAGATGGTTTGGAAACTCGTTAGCATTACAATAAAATCACAATAAACCTCATTATTTATGTTGTTCAGGTTTATGCAAAAATGTGGTCTTTCATCATCACGTGCGTATTGTATTTTTCTCAAGTCAACCAATAGGAATGTTAAACAATAAACCTCATTATTTATGTTGTTCAGGTTTATGCAAAAATGTGGTCTTTCATCATCACGTGCGTATTGTATTTTTCTCAAGTCAACCAATAGGAATGTTCAAAATGTCCTATTGTTAAAGTCATGGATGGGCAATTGAACAAAAGCGTTGCTATTGGCTGGTTGAGCAAAAATACAATACGCACGTGACGATGAAATACCACATTTTTGCATAAACCTGAACAAAAACATACATAGTGAGGTTTATCGTAATGCTAACGAGTTTCCAAACCATCTCCTCTATTAACTATGATTACAGGTAGGGTAATTATGGATAGCAGTTTATGCTAATCCATAATGTGAATGGGTGGGTGCGTGACTTTTTCGCTCCTGACCAATGACTCGTAGAAATTCAATCGAGCTTCGATTTCCAGGTATAAAGTCTCGTTTAATTTTCTAATTCTACCTCGCCATTGGTCTACGTCGCTACGAAGTCACGTGAGATTTGAAAGCAATGGCCATTAGCATGAAACTATACCAATTCTTTACTGATATACCAAACAAGGAACTTTTACTAACAACCGAAATTGCCCAATGTAATATTAACAACTGAACTTGCCCTATGTCAAAACGTCCCCACGTAATGGATACCATGATTGCAGTAAGTTAATGCCAAAGTTTTCAGAGTTCTCAGTAGATTCTGAAATAACAGGTTTATCACAGATTTTGCTAAGTATCAAAGCATTTGTCCACGCAGCTGCTGTCATGATGGTGTTAACGGACAATTTTGCTGTCTTTGCAGCAGATGTTGATGCTGCTCTGGTACTATGTGCATGGAAAATATTAGTGTCAATTCCTGCTTTGTCCAGAACTGTTTTCAGCCACCTTGCAATAGTATCAGCTGTTCGCATAAAATTCACTAAGAAAAGATTGCGGAATAAAAACGTAAAAAATCTGCTAAGCTTGACCATACATTTCTTGCTTTTCAAATAGCGGTTAGAATAGAACTTCTATGGGACAATACTCAGATTGTTTATATTTAAATATCACGGCTAAATAATAAACATGTCAAGGTTGTTATACAGCCATATACTGTACCTTAACAAGCAGATTTACTGTACTGTGCTACAGCAACTGTCTAGTCACGCATACATGGGGAAAGCCGATACAAACACAATATAATGTAAAACATAACGGAATGGCGAATATGCAGATTCGACCATCCAGGGTGTTAGCCAGGATTTCAAAAGTGGCCGTCCAAAATAATTTTGTGGGCGTGGCAACATATTTTTGTGGGCGTGGTCACATGTTTTTGGGTGTGGCCACAATTTTCTGTTGTTGAGGAATTGTGGTGTTTTATTCGTTGAACCACAGTTAATAGACCTAGAGGTTGAACCTTTCTACTTTTAGTTTTAGATGCACATTTCCGTCATTAAATTAGTAAAAGCACACGTATGGTATGATCACTACCGTAACTGTAACGTGGCGCTCGAGCGATGCTTTTTAAAACGCGGTTTCACATTATTCTCCTTGACACTTCATGTGAGAATAATTAAAATGGTTACAAAAACATGGCGCGTTTTACAAAAATATGGCGCGAAGTACTCAAGAAATATTACAAACCATGTAGGTTGCTTTTTAAAGAAAATATTCCCTTAGGCCGTCCATGACCATCCATTAAAATTTAGCCGTCCAAATTCAGAAGTGGCCGTCCATAGGAAGGTCGGACGGCCGCCTGGCTAACACCCTGCCACCATCTCAAATAATGGTAATGTTGGGATGGTAGCGTTGCAGACTGCAGAGGAGAGTGGGCAGTAAGGTTTTCTCATGCACCACCCCCATGGAAAACCTGCACCCCTCCTTGCAGATGCGGCTGGAGTCGCCATCCATGCTTGTAGATATATCGAATTTCAAAATACATATAAAATTGACAATGACAAAATCAATTACAAAGACAAACTTCAATGTACTATTATTCTAACCAAATCTTATTATACTAAAAATCCACTATTTAACAAACTTCTAACCAAAAAGAACAGATATGTACAAAATGACTTTAGTTCAAAATGCATTACAGTCAATTATCAATATCACTTTTCAATCATATTAAACAGTTACATTGGCTCATTGCATTACTATGTCAAAATAATCTCTAAATAACTCAACCAATTTCAAACAATGTCAAACTGGGGCAAAAATAAATTTCATAAGAGGTTTCAACACAACACCACATTACCTAGGGGTTGATGCGATATATCGATATTTTTGATAAATATCAATATTTCAAAAATGTTAATATTTGAAAATATTATCCACTTCTTGCATATCGACAATATGGAACCTTTTAACTAGAGTCTAGAAAACTTAATCTCCTTCTGTAAAGTTGAGAAAACGCACATGTGACGGCAATTGAGAATTGAAGTAAGCACGTTGGCAATTTAAAAGTGTAAACAGAGTACGAGTGATCACAGAAGATCACCATCCACAGGAGCGGTAGTTTTTTAAAACAATAACTATGTGATGACTCATAAAGATGGAATGAAAATATCACAGCTCCTTCTAACTCACTGTCTAGACTCACTGAAGGAAAGTCTAGACAATAAATATGTCAAACAACAATTCAAAGCCCTGTTTGGATTTACTTCAAGAACAGACTGAACTATGTTTTCTAATTTCATAATTCGATATAGTCCATATTTTTGTTCAATCTCGATATATTGATTTTTCTCATATCGCATCAGCCTAATAAAACCCAAGACAGTTTCAATTTATCTTGCCTAGCTAGTGGGGCAGCACATTGTCATGCATACTCATATGATCTTCAAGTTCAGTGGCAATTTGAAACTCGGCATCGCAGACACAACAGATATAACCAATACCAGTTGCTTCTCTTGCTTCTAATTCCTTACAGACATCACATTGGTAGGACATACCATGGTCTTTGGCCTTGTGCTGATATAAACTTTCAATATCAGGAAACTGTTTGTTGCATTTGTCACAGTCAGAATGATCATCACTCAGAATCTCACTAGCATGTCCTTGTGATTGAATAATTTCTTTGCTACAGGTGTGGCACAATACTAAGCCATCTCTCAAGTGTGATCTCCAATGACGTTTGAGACTTTGCCTTTGTGCAAATGTTTTCTTACATTTAGCACACTCAAGACTCGGCTTTCTCTTGTGTGCTGATATTTTATGTTGTGTTAAATTGCGAGATTCTGAAAATCTCTTATTGCAAACATGACATTCATAAGGTTTGTCTCTAGCGTGTGTTTTCTTATGCTTAGCTAAATGGCCCGATTGTAAAAATGTCTTCTTACAAATATCACATTCATAAGGTTTGTCTCCAGTGTGTGTTCTTTTATGGGTAGCTAAGTTGCTTGATAGCGAAAATCTTTTGTTTAGCTAAATGGCCCGATTGTAAAAATGTCTTCTTACAAATATCACATTCATAAGGTTTGTCTCCAGTGTGTGTTCTTTTATGGGTAGCTAAGTTGCTTGATAGCGAAAATCTTTTGTTGCAAACATCACATTCATAAGGTTTCTCTCCAGTATGTGTTCTCTTATGAATCACTAAGTCACTTGACCGCAAAAATCGTTTGTTGCAAACATCACATTCATAAGGTTTCTCTCCAGTGTGTGTTCTTTTATGTTTAGTTAGGGTTCTTGGGTCAGTATGTGTTCTCTTATGAATCACTAAGTCACTTGACCGCAAAAATCGTTTGTTGCAAACATCACATTCATAAGGTTTCTCTCCAGTGTGTGTTCTTTTATGTTTAGTTAGGGTTCTTGGGTCACGGAAAATCTTTTGTTGCAAACATCACATTCATAAGGTTTCTCTCCAGTATGTGTTCTCTTATGAATCACTAAGTCACTTGACCGCAAATATCGTTTGTTGCAAACAATCACTAAGTCACTTGACCGCAAATATCGTTTGTTGCAAACATCACATTCATAAGGTTTCTCTCTTAGTTAGGGTGCTTGGGTCATCACTAAGTCACTTGACCGCAAATATCGTTTGTTGCAAACATCACATTCATAAGGTTTCTCTCCAGTGTGTGTTCTTTTATGTTTAGTTAGGGTGCTTGGGTCAGAAAATCTTTTGTTGCAAACATCACATTCATACGGTTTCTCTCCAGTGTGTGTTCTTTTATGTTTAGTTAGGGTGCTTGGGTCAGAAAATCTTTTGTTGCAAACATCACATTCATAAGGTTTCTCTCCAGTGTGTGTTCTTTTATGTTTAGTTAGGGTGCTTGGGTCAGAAAATCTTTTGTTGCAAACATCACATTCATAAGGTTTCTCTCCAGTGTGTGTTCTTTTATGTTTAGTTAGGGTGCTTGGGTCAGAAAATCTTTTGTTGCAAACATCACATTCATACAGTTTCTCTCCAGTGTGTGTTCTTTTATGTTTAGTTAGGGTGCTTGGGTCAGAAAATCTTTTGTTGCAAACATCACATTCATAAGGTTTCTCTCCAGTGTGTGTTCTTTTATGTTACCGCTAAGTGGCTTGACCGCGTGTTCTTTTATGTTTAGTTAGGGTGCTTGGGTCAGAAAATCTTTTGTTGCAAACATCACATTCATAAGGTTTCTCTCCAGTGTGTGTTCTTCTATGAACCCGCTAAGTGGCTTGACCGCAAAGATCTCTTGTTGCAAACATCACATTCATAAGGTTTGTCTCCAGTGTGTGTTCTCTTATGAACCACCAATTCGCTTGGTCTTACCCATTCGCTTGGTCGTAAAAATCTGTTGTTGCAAACATCGCATTCATAAGGTTTGTCTCCAGTGTGTGTTCTCTTATGACCTGCTAAGTGGCTTGACTGCGAAAATCTTTTGTTGCAAACATCACATTCATAAGGTTTGTCTCCAGAACCTCGCAAGCCAGGGTCTTTTACTTCCGCACGGCGCTACAGCAAAGACCCTGGTTCCCTCTGGTCACGTGAGCTCCTCAACAAGAGATCCCAGGGGAGGGTGGTTGAAATATGATATGTTGTAATTTACAACTTCCGGTTAAATGTTGTGTTTTCAAGGCCCGCCGAGGAGTGACTGTAAAGCTATGAGAAGTGACTTCAACTGTAGTATGCAAAAACATTCAAAATGTATTATTTTTCTTATTTGTCTGCAGTTTTCTATTATAAATATTTTGTATGCAAACACTATTTTGAAGCCCAAGCAGGTTATTTGCTTGGAAAAGCTGTCCTTTGGCGTGTATATACTGGCAATTTTTCCAACCGGTAATATGGCGAGTCGCTGTTTTACCAGCTTTTGCCTTTGATGCTTTTCGCTAAAAGAGCGTTAGAAGAACGTCCAACTCATGGCGTTTGTGTAAATGAGTAATGCTGCTCGTTACAGTATATCGCGAACGCGCCTTTGATAAACAATCCAGCTGGAAAATTATATTCGATAAAACTCAAAGTATCAGCAATAAATGTTTTTCAGTAGCCATTAAAATGTGACAACGAAGAGATTGATTGCAATGTAGCTGAACTTGACCAAAAGACAAAACTAATTCTACATGTTACTTTTCAATCCATTATATTGTTAGTATATTGCGTGTTTAATAATAACGTACCAGCCGTTATTGCGTGACTGCAGCTACAGTAAAACCCCGCATATAAGAACCTAGAATTTAAGAACCTGTTAGGCTAAAATATTTTACTTAGACCCCCTTTAAATAAGAACCTGCATGGTCAGGCTCGAAATTCAAAACAGATTCTTATATTATCAAGTAGAGTCGAAATTAAGTCATAAGTTACAATCAGTGTAGCTCAGTAGCTTTAAATTAAAATGCATATTTACATAAGAACCTGTGTAGGCTAACTTGGAAAATCTAGGTTCTTATATGCGGGGTTTTACTGTACAGCATATAAACTTCACCGAAGGCACAAAAAAAGAATCACTTGGCTTGCATAATTGCTTTGAGTTGGTTGCAAATTCTGAGCGAAAGAATATCTTTTACGAAAGGGTATTCAGATACAAGCACTGATATTGATGCCTTGGAGCGGGACATTTGCAGACCAATTTATGCTGTAGTGTATGCAAAACACAATGTTTATGTGTTGAGTGTAGTTTAGATATGAAAAGTTAATCATTTTACCTGATTAGACAAATATTTTTGGGCCTGTGAAATATTCTTGACTTTGTACCAAATGAATACACAATTAATCAAATGTGAATTTTGTTAAACTCAGTTTTTTATTAAAGTGGGCACAAGTTGCACTCTCTCATATATATGTCATTATTTCCATATATAAACTCAATTTACTTCATGCACAGTACAAAATCCCATAAAGCAGTGCCAGAACAAAATTCTAAATTGAATATATATTTCATATTTATACAGTATACTGTAACCATACAGCTATTTCAATTAAAGTTGTCACAGACAATAGTCAGATGTACAATAATATGAGTGCTAAATGAATAATGGGAATAATGATAGTTTTCAATAAATTTAAACCTCAAATATATTATGAATACCAATTTAATTTGTATTCCCGTGAGGCTATTGATGTGTTAAAATAGAATCTTTTTTAGCGTTCAATATATTGCACATTTAACTATTGTCTGCGACACTAACCTTAATTGGAATAGCTGCATTATAAAATATAGGACAAGTGCAAATTGTGCATCTATTAATCCTTTCAAGCTAGGGTAGTCTTGGTAGCCTCTGCTACAGCCATACAAATCATTGTTGCTTATTCGTGCAAGTGTTGCAGTATTCACAGTCATAATAATTCCTCTTCATCTTCTGATGTGTCTACTGGTACGTGCTTGGTGAATGTTCCTCTTGTGTTTGTTTAGCTAGTCATCAAATGCAGCGACAATTTGTCTATAATGTTGCTAATGTATCTGATGATATATCTGTGAAGAAACCTTCATGAAAGTGATCATATACCGTATTGTTGATTGCAAATGGTTTCAATTCCAAGAGATCAATAAAATAACATTTTCTCCGAAGATTTGTGCTTGTGAGAGGATGCCTTCTTGACTTAATTCCTACAGCTATGTCGAAGTTGTTTATCATTTCTGCAGATCGATATCCCTCCAGTCGCTCTACTTTAATATTCAACATTCGATTGGCTTCACTGTCTTGGGTGTTTTATTGGCCCCCATATATTCTTTTAATTTAATGTTAATTTAGGAAGATTAGAAAATCCGTCATCGGTCATCACACGCAAGAGTTCCACAATTCACAAATTCTGTGATACGAAGCAGGTTTTTATTTCGCTATTCAGCTAGCTCTAAGAATAGGTTGTTGCAATACTACTTGTCGATAATACTACTGTACCACAAAAGCGACACTTGCATTCCGAAAACAAAGCGGATTTCGGGTAAATAATCTTTGGAGTTTCCTTTCGCTGTGCCATAGCTTGAGAGCTACTGAATATACAGTACTTTGACTTTGTATAAGTGTGCATTCGACCATTATTTTCTTTTCGGTGATAAATAATGGCTCCACTTCAAGGTGTAAAACAGACCTCCAGCCATGCAAATTATATCAAGTAGGTGTAAAAAGCTTTCAAGCGCCAGGCGGTGACATATTTCATAAAAGATAACACAAAGACCGACAAAACCCAAAATATGGGTTAATACAGAGCGTAAATGGCCGTATTTCCATAGGCATAGTTATAGATATCGATGTTTTTGTTTTCGCTCGTGAATTTCCCCTTCCACTCCTCCCTAAGTAGCAAAGAGGCGGCAATTCGAATTACCCCTAAAATCTGGGGGTTCACGTGACCAGAGGGAACCAGGGTCTTCGCCGGAGCCCGAGCGCAGGTAAAAGACCCTGGCTTGCGAGGTTGCTGCCCACTGTGCATTTCATAATCATTATGGTGTTTAGTGCTGAGGACAAGTTTATATGCTGAGGACAATTTTTATTAAATTTTGCATTATGGACTAAACTCATTAGGACCTTACTAAGACATTTTTATCTAAAATTTCCACAGGTAGTAGACAAGTAATGCTTAATATATAATACCGCTAACAGATTTGGTTTGTCTTTTAACAAGACGTCCTTCATCTTTTGGAACAAAAATGAAAGTCTAAACATCACAGGGACTTTCCAATTATGAAAAGAATATCATGCAAAATTTCTGAATTTTTTTTCATTTTAGGTTGTCCTACTGCAGTGATGAAGTCGCCAATAAGCCACTTGCATTTCCAAGAATTTGATTTTTCTTCTTACCTGGCATACAAAAGAGAAGGATTCGTTGGTCGAAAGTGGTTTTTCTTGGAATTGGAGAGTATCTTCGAGGAAAGCCGCAGTAGTACTGCCGGTGTTTTGATTACTGGAGAACCAGGATCTGGAAAATCAGCATTGATGTCGCAATTGATATGTTCACCATATTCCAGTTTGTTAATACACGAAAATACCATTGGTTATCATCTATGTGAATATTCTGAGAAGGGAAAACGTGACGGGGCAAGATTTGTGCGTAATTTAGTGGATCAAATTGCAGTTCGGTTGCCTGAATATTACGAGCACGTCAAGAACAATGAACAAATGCGGGAGGAACTAGATACACGTTGTCACAAAGATCCTACGGGCTGTTTTTTTACTACGATTGTTGGACCTTTACGAAAGTTGAAACAACCCGATAGTCCCCGGTTTATTATTATAGATGCCTTGGACGAATGTTTCGAGAGTGATACAAAAACATCTGAAATTATGGAAATTTTGAAAAGTAAAATACTGCATTTCCCAAAGTGGTTAAAGGTCATATTAACCTCTCGAAACTTGACTTCGGTTACATCTAGACTTCCTCGGGTAGTCAACAGGACGTCACTGTACGCCACGGATGAACGGAATGTGGATGATATTCGTTTCTATGTAAAGCGTTTTATATCTCAAAATTCCCATTTTTCAGATAGATTGTTAGCTGCAATGAATATCAGTTCAAGAAACGAAGGCATGAAAATATTCCTAGACGAAGTGATTACCCAAGCAGAAGGAAATTTTTTGTTTGTAAAAATGACATTGCAGTACATGAACGATACGGGAGATAAAGTCGACCTTCATTCCTTACCGACAAGTCTCTTCGATTTGTATCACATTTTCTTTGACAGACAATTTGGCGCAGAGGGATTTAAACCATTCAGGTTCCTTTTTGAAGTGTTGTTGGCGGTTTATTCGCCTCTTCATTCTCAACACCTTGAAGAAATTCTTAAGAGCGAGTATGAAGCGGAGGATATTACCAAACGTATTGAACAAGTGTCCTGTTTCTTGCGATTTGGACGAGACGGAACAGTGAGAATATACCATCAATCTTTCGCCGAATGGTTAATTAATCAGACTCCCGTTCTCTCTATTAATAAAACTAGAGGTCATCAAAGTATTGCTACGTTTTTACTTAATTTCATGCGTGAAAAACACACAGATGCCACGTTTGGGGAACTGACTGAACTTTTTATGCATATTCTGTCAGGAAGGTCTTTGGAAATGCAAGAAACCGCTATGAATCTTTTCAATGTTACAGAGATGAGGGAGCCCGACACTAATCAATCTATACTACATTATCTCGTAACAAAACCAGCCATCTATCTGCCTGTACTTGATTTCTTCTTTAAAAAGTTTCCAACGGTCGACGTACTCGACTCAAGCAACAAAACGCCCGCATTTTACGCCGCATCTGAAGGGCTTGTTAGGAGTTTGCAAAGCTGTATTAACAATGGAGCTGACATTAGTTCTTTTTTGCCAGGACACACAGTATTAGACCCAGTCTCTATTGTTGTTCGAAATACAGGTATCGAGGAGTTTAGCTTGATGCACGTAGCGGTTGCTAAAGGGCACAAGGATGTCGTTCAACTTCTGATACAAAGTAATATCAGCTTTTCCGACTCCACCAAGCGTTATCCAACACCACTTCACTTAGCAGTAGCCAACGGTAATTTAGAAATGGTTAAGGTTTTCTATGATTATGGTGAAACGTTCGATCAAATCACACTTCATCATGCAGCGGCAAGAAATCATTTGGCAGTCGTGAGATTTATATTATCAACAGTCGGACTACGTGATACTTGTGTAACATGTCAACCCGAACACGTCTCACAATTGGGTCTAAAAACTACAACACAGGAGATCCACGCGTTTTTTTGTGAAACTGCTCTTCATACCGCAGTATCCAGAGGACTTATTGATGTTGTAACGATTTTGTTAAATTTTGGAAAGGAATCTCTGGAATGTAAGCATCATTCTGGGAAGACAGTTTTGATGGACGCCGTGGAAAGGAATAATACGGAAATAGTGGATTTATTGCTGGAGCATGGTGCCAATGTCACAACAGACTGCGGACGGAAAGTTTCGAAGGATAGTAACAATCAAATGTGCTCTATTTATGCTATGTATAGGCAAGATTTTTTGTATACAGTTTATTGCGTAAACGACAGTTGTGGATGTGGTTACAGAGCCATTCATATGAGTGCTAAATATGGGTTGTGGAAAATGGCAGAAAGATTAATTAGTGGAAGAATTGAAGAAGTAATAGATATTGAAGATTGTGATGGAGATAGTGCTACACATGTTGCTATCATATATGATCATACACATTTTGTTAAAAATATTATCATGTCTCTAGACAAAATAGGACGGTATTTAAATGAATCAAAAATTGCCAAGCAGGCAATACTGCATTGTTCGGCTAACGTTGCGAATAGTTTCTTAAAACATCTAATTGATGAAGATGAGAGCGTATGGGACCTTTTACTGGGACGTGTTAAATGGTCACCATGTGAAGCCGAGACAGTTTATGATTCCTATTGCTTAAACGCCTTCAAAGATGATAATCTTTCTGCGGAAGAAGAGATGAAAGAAGAGTCGGGGAGGCGCTTGAATATAATTAAGTTATTAATTGAAACGCATCAACAGAAAGCTTTTATTTTGTGCAAGAAAGACCACCATAATAGGACGCTTTTGCATTACGCTGCTGCAAATGGGTTTACTGATGCTGTAAAATACCTAGTTGAACTTGGCGCGGACAAACTTTTAAAGGATAAAAATGGCGATACGCCATTAACGATTGCGCTCAGGAATTCACCAGTTTATGATGTAAATCATATTGCTTCGTATCGCTGTTACACTACAAACGATGGTCAATTTAGTTTGTGCAACACCACGTGCTACGATGAAACTGTTAGGTACCTGGTCCAGTCACAAAGAGCAAATATTTCAAAATGTGATAATCAAAGTGCATTTATGTTGGAACGAGTTATTTTAGGACAGATGCCCTTGAGCTTGTACGCCTTGTTAAAAATTGGTGTCGAATGGAACTGCCGATTAAACTATTTTAATACTTCCGCGATGTTACTTCACTTGCAAGTCGGCGGAAGGGAAATCACCGAAGTGATTAAAATGTTTGAGGTTGACGTTTCTGTAAAATGTGAAGTTTCTTCTTCAGAATCGGAACTGCATGAACTGTCGTACTTGTCAACAGCTGATGAATTCGGTAATTTCTTCAAACCTTCTCTAAATAAAAAGCGTTTGCCTTTACAAAGATTGATTGACCGTCATCCTAGAGGTGTTCGTATATTGGACGAATGCTATGACGCCGATGGATATTTACCAATACATAGAGCTGTGCTAGGTGGAAATCTTGTCGCTCTTAAATGGTTTTTAAGTATTGGAGTTAACACGCAACAGAAAACACGGAGTGGTCGTATTGCTATTGATCTTTCTATATTGCTTCTAAAAAATAATAAGCGTATTGTATTGCATTCGAACATGTTCAGCGCTTTTGGGCGGACGGATACAAGATATCGAAGTGAATGTTTCGAAGAACTTTTGCGTGCATATTTCGACACAGCACATAAAAATTACAGTTCAGACTTTTCTTCTTTCTCGTTTTCTGAATACCCAATTTTACATTTGGCTATTATGGCAACTAAATATGGACGAGAAGTGGTGACGGTTGTGTACAAGAAAGCTTTAGAAATCGTACCAAGTTTAAAAATGAATAAATCTTTGCTTCTTGATGAGCAAAATGCGGACGGAGATACACCTCTTCATATTGCTGCTTATCTTGGTCGTGAAAATGTTGTTAAGTATCTTGTGCGACTTGGTGCTGATGTTAACATTAAGAACAAGAACAACCATACTCCAATGTTGACTGCACTGATGAAAGTTCCCCTTCATCCCATTAAATCTTATGGAGATCACCGCTGCTACATTACAAATGACGGTTTGTTTAGTTCTTGCGAAACCACGCCACATGATGAAATTGTGAGGTACTTGATCTGGTCACAGAAATCAAGTATCTCGCAATGCAATGATGAAAGTGCCTATTTATTAAATGCTGTAATTTTGAAACGAATGCCCCTGAGTTTGTACGCTTTGTTGAAAATTGGTGTCGATGTAAATTGTCAATTGGAGAATGAATTGAGTCCCTTTCAACAGCATATCAGAGAAGGAGGCCAAGAAGTGGGTGAAGTGTTGAACATATTTGAAGTGAATGTTTCTGTCCAATGTGGAGTATCTTTTATTAATTCCGAGCTTCACCTTATCTCATTCGCGCCAGTATCTAATGATTTTGGTAATTTCTTCAAACCTTCTCTAAACAAAAAGCCTTCCCCTTTACAAAGATTGATTGACGGTCACCCTAGAGGTGTTCACTTATTGGACGAATGTTATGATGCCGAAGGATATTTACCAATACATAGAGCTGCTGAGGGTGGAAATCTTGTCGCCATAAAATGGTTTAAAAGTATTGGAGTTAATACACGTCTGAAAACACAAAGTGGTTTCACTGCCCTTGATATTTCTATATTGCATCTAAAGAAAAACAAGTTAACTTTGCTAAATGAATTGCATTTGGACATTTTTAACACTTTTGGGCGGATGAATATAAAATATCGAAATCAATGTTTCGAAGAACTGTTGCGTTCATTTTTCGACAGATCACATAAAAATTACAGTTTAGACTTTTCGTCTTTCTCGTTTTCTAAATACCCAATGTTACATTTGGCTATTATTGCAACTGATTATGGACGAGAGGTGGTAACAGTTGTGTACAAGAGAGCTTTAAAAATCATACCAGGTTTAAAAATGAATAAATCTTTGCTTCTTGATGAGCAAAATGCGGACGGAGATACACCTCTTCATATTGCTGCTTATCACGGTCGTGAAAATGTTGTTAAGTATCTTGTGCGACTTGGTGCTGATATTAACATTAAGAACAAGAACAACCATACTCCAATGTTTACTGCACTGATGCAAGTTTCCCTTTTTCCCATTAAATCTTATGGAGATCACCACTGCTACATTACAAATGACGGTTTGTTTAAGTCTTGCGAAACCACGCCCCATGATGAAATCGTAAGGTATTTGATCTGGTCACAGAAATCAAGTATCTCGAAATGCGATGATGAAAGTATGTATTTATTAAATGTTGTAATTAGGAAAAGAATGCCCTTGAGTTTGTACGCTTTGTTGAAAATTGGTGTCGATGTAAATTGTCAGTTAGAGGAAGAATTGAGTTCTCCCGTTTTACAACATATCAGAAAAGGAGGGAAAGAAGTGAGCGAAGTGTTGAAGATATTTGAAGTGAATGTTTCTGCCCAATGTGGAGTATCGTTAATGTTTTCGGAGCTGCACCTTATTTCATACGTATCAGTATCGGATGATTTTGGCAATTTCTTTAAACCTTCTCGAGATAAAAAATCTTCCCCTTTACAAAGATTGATAGAACATCATCCTAGAGGTGTTCGTTTATTGGACGAATGCTATGATGCTGAGGGATATTTACCAATACACAGAGCTGCTCAAGGTGGAAATCATGCCGCTATAAAATGGTTTAAACGTATCGGAGTTAACACACATCTTAAAACACGAAATGGTCTTACTGCTCTTGATATTTCTATATTGTACTTAGGAGATATCAATTATGGAGAACTTAGTGCACCACCAAATATTTATCTGCATTTGCAAAATGTGTATTGGCATGTTCCAATGACGACGTCGAAATATCGAAAGAAGGTGTTTGAAGAATTACTGCGAACGTTTTTAAGCACAACGTCTAAATCAGAGTTTACATGTGGCCCGACATTAGAAGGACTATCTCCGCTCCATATAGCATCAGTGAAAGGCATGGCTGTATTAAGATACGTGCATAAAAAGGCCATGGATATACTTCCGAATTTGCCAATAAACTGCGTTAATAGACACCGGTTAGATCCGGTGTATCTGGCTCAATTTTATGACAGTGTCCGAAATGAAGGATTAATTGATAAATATTCTGGGGAAAATTCTAACGATGTTTGGTATAATTTAGCAGACGAAATTATCAAACATGGAAAGAGAAAAGGTGAAAACAACATTGAGTTGGAGTTTGATCATGGAAGTGTGCCTGTTGCTCAATATCCGGATCGGGAAGGCGACTATGTTGTAGCATTCAATTATTTGTATCATCCACCACTTCGTCTGTCCACAGAAAGAAAGCGTCTTTTTGAAAGTGGGGAAAAGCCTGAAAGCGATTGTCCAGGTTATTATGATATCTTTCCGAAATATGAAGATACAAAATCCTTTCCTGATGTGGCTGATAGTATGTCCAAGTGTTTAAAACTACACCATAAGGACGATATGTTACTATGCATTAATGATCACTTATTCACATACAATTGCAAACTTATACTGAACCTACTTCAATTGCGGTATGTAAGGCAACGAAGAAGAAGAAACCGCAAATTCAGTCAGTTTATTTTAAAAAGATTGGGCTGGAACAGTGGTTCGCGAGTGCAAAATATCGATGATAGATGGCCATTTTACTTTTTACACAAAATGCATCTGAAAGAATTTGAGACTTATGAATATCTTAAGATTTTAAACGAAGCACTTGAAGTTTCTGACATTCGTTTCTATAGCCACCCACTTTTTGACATTATCGCGGATCCATAGAGTTACGGTACAATCTCGATAACACGAAATGATGGCGAAACAGGCGAATGTGTTTAAGTCGAGAAAAAAGTGGCTCAGGCAACACTTTAATATTTTTAAACTGTGCCAAACGATAGAAATGTTGAATACTCGATTTACAAAAATTGATTATCTAGTGGTTGAATAACACTCCCTTTAACAAAGTTTGAAACTAAGGTTCAACTACAGTGGTTAAAAATACGGCTTTCTCCTCAAGATCGTTATCTGACAGTGACAGATACACCTTTTGCATGCACTTCCTGTTCGTGCCGATCTGCTGATCAAATAATTAATCAACTTTCTTATTTTTGATGGATTCGATTTGCTAAGAACACAACGAAGTTGAATCGTTTGACTTCATTACCAATATATCCCAAAACTATTTGACGAATCTTGATGTGATTGACATGCATATCCAAATCCCGACACATAATCATGATCGCTCACTAAGAAACAGAATCTGCTCGAAATCAACAAATCAACGTCAACAATGTCTTCGAAAATCTGAGACTGAAAATGTAAGAAAAATGAAACCGAGTATAGGTACTTTTAATTATACGTTTTATGTAAACGTTTTACGGTATAGTAACATAACTGTAACATTGTTTTGTATTTAGTAAACTGAAATATGTTCGTTATATCGTTTATTATCACATACTTGTGCCTTTATCAGGATGATATATAAGGTGACATAAAAACGATATGTCACTGATATCATAGCTGTTTGTCCCGCTATTTTAATAATTGTTGCATTAGGCAAATGATTCTAATAAATTCTGACCCTGATAAAGGCACAAGTATACAATAAACGGGTTATCATTATCGGGACGAGGCGATCCATCAAGCGATAAAACTGATATCGCCTCGTCTCTCATATGACAACCTATAGCATGGAATTTTAGGTATTAATACCATGAACATGAGGAAACTGTCTGCATACGTTCATCATAACTGTCGATACTAAACAATTATATATATCGGATGAGATTTTTCTGATGTCCAGAATTACCAAGTTCCTGAGGTTTATAATTATACTTAGAGATGGACCATTTTAAAAGTGAAGGAAGGGGGGGGGGGGAGATGGAGGGAGGAGTTTCTGCCATGTATAGAATTTTCACGGTTCACCATGGTGTACATGTTTTTTTCGCGCTGTGATATTTTTCTGCCCTCTGGCTGTATGGATGTTTTTGGAGAACGTTTTTGCTTGCTTGGATTTTTTCCTCGTCCTTCGATTTTCCAATGGTCCGTCCCTTACCGTGACCTTGATCATTTCGGATATAACAAACCGAATGTAACAATTTTTGACTTGTCTGTAAATTTTACGTTTTTAAAATATTTCAAATTTAGCTGAACATCTCTCAATGCAGGCTCGTTGTCAGAAGGTGATTTTTTATTAACAATATAATCATCAGGGGCCGATTGTATAAAAAAGTGATTAAAGTTAACTATAGTTAGTGGAAACGTCATCCAATAAAAAGCGCGTATTTGAGAGTTAATCACTATTTAACTACAAAATAGTGATTAAAAAAGTGATTAAGAGTTTTATACAACGGCTCCTGGTTATTTCAGCAGCGAACGAAAAAGAGTTAACTACTTTTTAACTGCAGTTAGCGCTAACTACGTTTTTATACAACCGGCCCCAGGGGGAGTAAGACGATTTATTCAGTGAAAAAATGCCTTGCGGAAGACTTTGCAATTAGTTCTCTTGTAAGACGCAAGCTTCCCCAGCAGGCAACCCGGCAAAGAGTAACATGTGGAATTACGCATTATTTTGTAAAGAGGGTGGTAACAATGGATTGGGTGGCTACTAAGACGCTATCTTTAATGAAAATAATATGCATGTTTGTTTGCACGGCCACTTGGCGTGCATTCCTCTTTTCGCTTTAATTGTTTTCGTAGTTCTTCTGCTCAGACTTGTGATCAAATGTAGTCTTAATCACTATAGACTGAGTGAGTCGTCAATATCTTAGCTATACTATTCAATACCATATATTTTAGCCATACTATTGAATTCAATACCATATATTTTAGCCATACTATTCAATACCTATAATATTCGATGAAAAGAACACTCACTTTCAAGTCTCTGATCGTCAGCGTAGTTTTATTGCTATCGTGTTTCTGCATGCACACCTGATCCAACGGTGCACACTCACATATTTAGAAAGTTCAGAGTAAACTAATAAACGCCCCGGTTATATCGATATTTTAATATGTGATACTGAATGCGTTTCTATTCCGCAAGACCGCAACACTTCCTTCTTGTATTGGGAGGTTATTCAATTGTTGTTTAAGTTGCGTAAACTGCCGTACTGGCCCGTACATAAGAATAAATGCCTCTCCTATAGATATATCTTGTATCCAATAAACACCTCCTCGTAATAAGAGTACGATAATTTCCTCATTTATGGTATCTGTGTTGTAGGATATTGTCTTAAAGACAACGTTAATATATTGTCAAGGTTTTCTCAGCTGCGTCTGTCGTCGACCGTGGTTTGCTTTGTTTACGTCACGTTTGTTGTAAATCAATAAACTATCGTGAAAAACAACCGTGGTTGGAGAACGATCACATGAACTGTCAACTATGTAATGTATCAGCGTTGGAGAAGCCTGGCAATTTGGTGGAAGATCAAGAGTTCATTCATTATAATGTCTGTAATATAGGAAAAGTTAGTATAAATAATATCTTAAGCACCTCTGGCTCACACACTGAGGCTTGCCGAGGATGGGGGCACTTTCGCCCGAGCACCCAGCTTAAAAGGGGTCTCCAAAGAAACGAAGGCTGTAAAGAATATAAATCCTATAGCTGTGTTGATGTCGGATAATATACAATAAAGTGTAATATATTGTGAAACGGACACGCTTCTCCCGTTTTACAAGCAATTATGTCATTTTGCCCCGGGGCCTGCGCAACCTCTAGGCAGCCCTAATCTCACACATTGATATGAGAGTAGCTTGTTAAGCATGAAGAAATTTAAAAGGGTAAACCAAAAAATAGAGACAGCAGAGTACGCGGCGCAATCTTCGGCATGAGCAAAAACGCAGATCTATTAATAAGCCCGTGTAGGCCAAATGAGAGCTGTAGAACTGAAAATCCTCCCTTTGTTTTGCACACCCAAGAGGTAAAGCTTTCTTAATTTGTGTCAGTTCTACTTATGATAAGCAGCTTATCTCATTCGTGCGGCACAGTTGTCTCAAAGTGCAATTATCACATCGGTACCATTGGACATTTTACTTCATATTTCCATATCATCTTGTTTGAAATCACGAACGTGAAACTTCCTTGACTGCCGTCTGCTGCGGGTTTGATACAACTTGTCAGAGAAGAGTGTATTTTGAAACACACATGCGACTACTTATTAACTGTAACGTATGCACTGGAAAATAGCAGAATTAAGTCATAAATCTATTTAAAAAATATTAATGAAATAATTCACGAGGAAAATACAAAAGAAATGAATGTTTAATCAGTGTTTGTAAATCGGATAAAGATTTGTCCTGATTTACATAAACTTCAGCTTTGATTTTCTCGGCTTAGACAATGGTTATTTTTAAAATTACTTCACCAATGAACTCATAAGATGGGGGCATTTTTAAGTACGATAAAACATTCGCATCCGATCTGTATCTGATATACAAACTCTCGCCTTCGGCTCTAGTTTGTATATCGCCAGATACAGATCGGCTGCTCATGTTTTATCTAGTACATATTACATGGATTATCCATAAAATTAAAACAACACGTTGTAGATTGACATTTCACCTTATTTAAGATCACGCGTTTTTCTAACTTAGGCGGGGTTATCTTTTGTGCTTAGCATGTTTTGTGATTGGTTCAGTTGTGTAACAACCAATCGATAACTTGCATGTTAACACTAAATTTTAATCTAAGTAAAGAGAAGGGAATCAAACACCCCAGCTAAAAAGAACATAGTGAAATTAGTAAAATTGCAAAATTTGGTAAAAATGTTGTAAAGCTTAGAAAATATAGTCTTGCAAAGGCGAGTTTTCCGGGATAGCTGCATGTTGATATGGACAAAATACATTGTCGGGATGAAGTCATTTAAGTGCTTGACGTCATATTTTTTGCAGAAACGTCATTTACGCATGCTCAAGGGAAAAGTTCATCCCGCCTAGCAGGGATGAAGTGTTTATATGGGAATTTTTTATCTCGCTTAGGCGGGATCCCGGCATCTGTTGCCGAGATCCCGTCTAGGCGGGATAAGTCGCGGGATATCATATAAGCACTCATTAGAATTCGTATTATGAGCGAGATCTCGGTAAGCATCCCGTCCCGCCTTGGCCGGGATCATATAAACAGGCCCTAAAGTCTCCCAGGGAGGGAGGGAGGGAGGGAGGGGAGAAGTTGGGGAGGGTTGGTCCCTGGGAGCCTTTTCCCTCTGGTCCCTTTTCCCCCACAAAGATCTCATCATGTTCCCTTGTTCTCCTTACTTGCATGTTTCCCTGTTCCCTACTATTTTCATAGTTTGGCTTTGTTCCCGTGTTTAAAATATCCCTTGTATTGTATCCCCTGGGAATTAACCTTCATTTCTGACTGCTTATATTCAAACTGAGACGTGACATAAAAATACCGGACAATTTCGTGAGCAACGGTCGTGTTCGACGATGTGAACTAGCCCACATCCTAGCTTCTTGTGTTTTGCGAGTGTGCCGTGCAAGTCAATCGTATATCAAGTCAATCAGATATTATATATCATGTTGACAAGACAACATGCTTTGAAAGACAGCGAAAAAAAAGAGCCAAAATCTACCCAAATGTCTTCCAGTGATAAGGCAAAAATGAGTAAAAATAGAAAAGATGATAATACAAACGAATGTAGCAAAAAACCGATAAAAAAGAGCAAGATATGAATAAAATGTTTGAAATGTTTGAAATGATGAAATCCATGATGAACCGTCGGCTACAAGAAAGCGTTGTCGACCTTAAAGCACGATCTATGCGTGATAACCTGCGTTTCTTTAACGTAAAGGAAGACGAAAAAGAAAACACAACGGAGAAGATTTATGATATCCTTGACGCAAGAAACAAGGTAAATATCGATCGTTCCCACCGTGTCGGAAGGAAACGTGTTAGCCAACGAAAGCCTAGACCGATTGTTGTGAAATTCAACTATTTCCAAGACCGTGAACAAGTCAGACAAAATGCGAGAAAACTAAAAGGTTCGCGTATTGGAATTTCAGAGCAATTTCCCGAAGAGATCGAAAAAATTAGACAGACTTTATACCCAGAAATGAAGAAGGCCAAAGCGCAAGGTCACCGAATTCGGTTGGTTCGAGACAGATTATATATAAACAACTTGAATGATGTGTTTCTTGCACTTCACTTGGTGGAATTAATATTAGAATGTTAGGGTTTGTAATCCAAGTGGTTATATACATTTTAAGACCTGACCAGGAACGACTGCGAAAAATGCAGCACAAGGTCCTCTGGTAGGAATTGAACCTACGGCCCTGCGTAGGTCTTAAAATGTATATAACCTCTTGGATTACAAACCCTAACATTCTAATATTAATTCCACCAAGTGAAGTGCAAGAAACACATCATTCAAGTCCACCTTATCACAACCCGCACACCCGATTACCTATATATACATGAACTTACGGTTACAGCTCAACAGCTGGCCTCTGTAGCTCAGTTGGTTAGAGCACTGCACCGGAATCGCAGGGCCGTAGGTTCCTACCAGAGGACCTTGTGCTGCATTTTTCGCAGTCGTTCCTGGTCAGGTCTTAAAATGTATATAACCACTTGGATTACAAACCCTAACATTCTAATATATATAAACAATGTTGAGTTCAAACCTTCCAGTTAAGTGTCATTATCAATCTCTGTATATCACTCCTACTATTTTACTACTTATCTATAAGTCGATATGGCTAATCTATTATTAGGTAAGAAAATATGTTTTTCTTGTTTTCTTGAAATAAGTAAAAATCATAAAAGTATAAATTGTCTTACATGCGGGGATTGGTTTCACGCACGCACTTCATGCGTAAAATCACCTCTTGCATGTCAACAAACGGAAGTTGATATCTGCAACATGTGTTTAAGTTGCGCGCTCCCCTTTTACTCAATTGACGATTTAAAATTGAATTTTATTCTTGGTGATTTCAATCGAATTTCTAGCGATGAGGATATGGATAGACTAACACAACTCAAATTTAACCCTTTTGATACCAACTACAGAATTTCAAACTGTCCAAATTATGAGAGCTATATGTCTGAAAATTTTGATAGTTTAACATGCGATTATTACCTACCAAACGATTTTAACTCGCCCTCAATTCATACTAATAATAATAAATATATATCTATACTGAATCTTAACATAAGAAGTATAGCAAACAAGTTCGATTCCTTTAAGAATCTATTGAGTACTTTAAAACACCCTTTCTCTATAATAAGTTTAACGGAAACCTGGCTTAATGATCACACCTGTATAAACTTCAACCTTAATAATTACAATTTTGTTAGTTCCAACAGAGCAAAGAGAAAAGGTGGTGGAGTAGGACTTTATGTTTCGAATAATTTAAACTACAAAATACGAACTGATCTTAATATGCACGAAGAAGGAATTATTGAATCACTTTTCATAGAAATAATCTCAGCAACAAGTAAAAATATTATTGTCGGTACTACTATATAGACCACCAAGTGGCAATTTTGAAATTTTTGAAAACAAGTTTAATGAAATTTTAACTAAGGTTGATAAAACGAACAAAATAACTTATTTGACTGGAGATGTTAACATTGACCTTTTGAAATCTGATGTTTGCGAATACTCAAACAAATTTTGTGAGCAACTTTTTACATCTTCTTTCTTTCCACTTATAAATAGACCAACTAGGATTACCCAACATACAGCAACTTTAATTGATAACATATTTAGTAACGATTTAGATCAATTGGAATCTAGCATAAATGGACTAATTTTCTCAGATATTTCGGATCATCTTCCTACATTTCATTTAGCTTCTTTGTCCTCAAATACTGATGTTTCAGAAAAAGGAAATAATTCACACTACAATAGAACAGTCGACAAAGATAGTCTTGCTTCGTTTTTAGTTTCTGTCAAAAATATTTCTTGGGAAAGTACTTATCAAACAAATGATGCATGTGAATCCTATAATAACTTTCATAATAGCTTAAAAGTAGCAATTGATAAGAGTTTCCCCTTAGTAAAAATGAAACGAAAAGCTATTGACCATACAAAAAGTCCCTGGATGACAGGTGGTATTTCGAAATCTATATTCAAGAAAAACCAACTTTATAGAAACTCTTTGAAAAAGCCATCCTGCAAAGGGTCTGAAAATGAAATATAAAAAATACAAAAACAAATTGAATCACTTAATCAAAGCAGCAAAAAAGCCTATTATGAGAAACAATTTATAAAACACAAAAATGACATAAAAATGACATGGCGAACAATCAAGAGTGAACTACTTCATAGAAATAAAACTAAAACAAAAATGCCTGACGCGTTTTTACTGAAGAATTCAAACATCAGTAGTATAGGGAAGAGGGGTTCTGGGACGGGTGGAGCGGGTGGAGCACTAGAGCTCCACACATTACGTCATCAGGATATCATTTCATCATATACACGCGCCTGCAATGTATTTTAAAGAGCGCAAACCAGAGATTACTAGCATTTCAGGGGAATTTTTGCTGTTTAATACTTTGCTAGTATTTATTCCCGGACAAACATTTCCAAACTTCCTCCCAACAAACCGAATAAATTTTAACACGTTCTCGATATATATTCTACTAAAGTTGTTGTAATGATTGTGGGACATAGATATTGCGTTTATACGACGCATGCGCAGTGAGAATTCTGTATTACCAACGTACCTGACTTATAGCAGTTTGCAAGGATTCCGGGGGAATTCTGCAGGGGTTCTCTTGGGCTCCTTTGGTTCACGCATAAAAATGAAAAAAACCCAATAGTTTCTTTCAAGAACTTGCTGATTAATTAACGGCATAAACGATATAGAAATATAGTATAAAAGGTGTATTTGAATTAATCGTGTTGCGAAGTTTTATTAGATTATCTTAGAATGTCCACTACTTTAAATCCATCATTGGTTTTCCTGGTGATATACTCACCATATTTAGGACTTTTAATCAGGGAATAATAAAAACCCAGACATATATATGAAAAATTTTAAACAGGCTAAGCAGTTGCTATGCCAAAGTTGATATCGTTGCCAACGCCGTTGTTATGGTCGATATTTGCATATTACGGAGTCATTATAAAGTAATTAACCCGCCCACCCCATGTGGATAGAAATTTATTTCACGTAGCGAGCTTGAGACAGAAAAAATAAAAACGAACACAGAGTTATTACAGTAACTGTGTGAGAGATATAGAATTTTTTTCTTGTTGACATCGAAAATGTGAGCTGTCAAAGTCACAGGTCAGAGTCATTAACATTCGTTAACGTCTCAATATATTGATATGTTCAACATAACTTAGGCTCGGGGCCGGTTCGAGGCTCCACAGGCTCGGAACCGGCTGCAGTGGTTCGCAGCCACTTTCCACAGGTTCGGAGCCGGCTCGAATGGTTCGGAGCCGAGCTCCATAAGCTCTATGATTCAATAATTCAATCTTATGATTCGATAATTCACTCTATGATTCAATGATTCTATAACAAACGTACTTGCAGGGAGGTGAGTCCGGGATTGGACGCACCGAGGGTGGCTGGAAGTTTCCCGAACTTACCGAGCGAAGCGAGGTGAGTTCGGGAAACTTCCAGCCACCCGAGGTGCGTCCAATCCCGGACTCACCGAACCTGCAAGTACGTTTGGTTTTTATCCCATACACCGAGCTATACACACATTTGTAGCTCTTCGCAATATATTCGTCGATGTTTTGTGAACATTTTCCCGGCCAAAAAATCACTGGGCAAGAAAATTCTTCTTTATCTACGTCTACAATACCTTTACTGCACTTTTTCTTTGGTTTTTCTTCAGTCTCAGTATGTTAGTCACCGAAAAAGTTCTTTAAAGTTTAGGTTTATCGGCTAAATCTTGTCCGCCATATTTGTTATTGTTATTGCAACGTAAGCAGTTTAGCGGGTGAGCTCGGGCGAAAAGCAGGTGAGTTCGGAAAAAAGCAGGTGAGCTCGACGACAAGCTCACCTGCTCTAAACCAATCAGAAAGCCGCTTTTAACACAGGTATGGGATAAACTCTATGATTCAATCTTATGATTCGAGCTCGACGACAAGCTCACCTGCTCTAAACCAATCAGAAAGCCGCTTTTAACACAGGTATGGGATAAACCCTATGATTCAATCTTATGATTCAATGATTCAATCTCAATCTTATGATTCAATGATTCAATCTTAATTATGATTCAATCACTCAATCTTATGATTCAACGATTCAATCTTATGATTCAATGATTCAATCCTATGATTCAATGATTCAATCTATGATTCAATGCGTCAATCTTATGATTAGACCCCAGACTCGAAGCCACCTACATAGGCTCAGAGCGAAGCTCTCTAGGCTTGGAAACAGCTCCTTAGGCTCGGAGCCAGCTTCTTAGGCTCGGAGCCGAGCTCCCTAGACTCGGAGCCAGCTCCATAGGCTCCGAGCCGAGCTCCAAAGGCTGCAAGCGGAGCTTCCTAGGCTCCGAGCCAGCTCAAATGGCTCGGAGCAAAGCTCGATAAACTCGGAGCTCTACTGAGCTCCATAACCTCTGGGATTCAATGATTCAATCTTATGATTCAATGCTTCAATTTATGATTCAATGATTCAATCTTATAATTCAATGAATCAATCTTATGGTTCAATGATTCACAGAGGAGCAGAGGCTCGCGAGCTAGATTCTTAGGCTCGGAGTCAGCTCC